GGATCTATTGAGGAGCCGGTCACGGTCGCGGTCGTGGTTGCGGTGGCTGTGGTTGGGGAGGAGGGAGAGGGGTTGGTGATTCCGGGGGCGCGACGCTGGCGGAGGTTGAAGAGCTCGTCTTTTTGCTGTTCTGCGGACAGGTTGGGCTGGTTGCTGGTAGAAGAAGGAGGAGAAGAAGAAGAAGTGGGCGGCTTCGCTGCGCCGGCTCGCTCTCCTTGCTCCGTAGCGAGGGTACCATTTATTCCTGCATCTGACTCTTCGCGTGTGTATTTCTCTTCCAGCTTTTCCGTCAACGGCGGTAGTCCCAATAACTCTTCCACCGTCTCGCCTGGCCCGTAGTCATCCCCAGCATCCAGAGGCGCGCCCTCCCTCTCCCTCCGCTCGGCCTCCCTCGCCAGTTCCTCGACCACCCCTCTCAGCTTGCGGACCGCTTTCCTCTTCTCGGCCAGATCACGCACGACATCCCTCTTGACACGCTGGATCTTGATGTGTTGCGCTGACTGCTCGAGTTGGAGCAGCAGGGTCCGCGCATGCTCGATGGTATGCAAGGTCTTGGTGCGGTGATAGGGGAGCGGGGAGAGGAGATCGCGGAGCGTGAGTTGTTGGTCTGGCGTTAGGCTCGGACGGGCGATATTGTTGGAGGGTGAGAGGGGAAGAAGGTGATTTGAGAGACGGGTGAGGGTGCGAGAGAGAGTGATGTAGGAGGGTTGGTGGTGGAAGGGGATGTCTTGGTTGCTGGCCTTCTGGCGGTAGGTGGGAAGGGAATGCGTGGAGGAGGTCAAGGACATTGTTGATATTTCCGCGTTATGTAAAGTGTGCGCAGCTGGGAACTTCAAGTTGTTGTTGAAGAGGCCAGCGTCATGCTCTTTTCCTTGGGGGTGGAGGTGCAGTGCTAGTAGCGCCGGGCATCGTAGTGTGGCGGTGCCTGTTGCCAGTCCCTTTCATCGCACCAAACCATCTTTGACTCCTACTTGTATCCTAATGACATCCACAAGACTGCATGGAGCTATAGACCTGCTACACTCGAGTACGACATGGCTGACGACAGCTCGATTCTAGTCCATTAACATGCTTACCAATTTCGTTCCTTATAACGGAAAAGGGATATGTCCACCACTCCACCAAAGGACAGCACTGATGGGTGTTGAACCACACTTGATTATGTATCCTCACTGACAATAATGAGAGGAGCGTAAGGCTCATCCACAAGGAATTAGGAGTCATTTCTATACGGCAATCTCCTGCATGTTCCCTTAGGCCATAATACAACAGGTTCCCTTCTCTGTACCTATTTCGTTGTCAATTGCCTGCCCTTGCTGAGGAAAGTGGACCGCTGTACGGAGTATCGTTTGGAAATTCCTGCTCTCCTCTTTCCCCTCTATGTTCACGCCGAAATGGGCGTGACGTAGCTGTGGAGAGAAGTTCATTGGCACAGCTTTAACGTCCACCACACTCGGTGATTGTCACAATGCCGGAAGTACCACTCCTTAGTGCAAGAGACGGAATGAAGCAGACCTCTTCCCAGCATGATATGAGTCTCGCCATGTTTGTGAGTTACCTATCTTGGCCATGTTCGTTCTGGATGTCAGTCCATCCTAGTAGCACATACGCAAGCACGAGAGATTTGTTGGCCCACCCAAATAAGAACAGCTTCATCCAATTGACCCAGCCGAATGTCTCATACTTCCACCGCAGGGGATGGTGGTCCATTGCTCACAGCCAACGCCTTTAGTACACAATGTCAGGGCCATACATCTCCTCTATATCAGTAAGAAATAGCGGTACGGTGTTCATGACTCGACGAGGAGAAACAGACAGATTCTGAAGGGGGAAAATATTCTGGCTGAAGCTGGAGGCGACGAGAACAGAAGAGAGGAGGTTGCACTCAGCCTGCGAGCACAGCAGCGAGCAATGGGAAGAGCATACAAGCGGCATCCACTCGGAGGCAAGCGGCATGCGGAATTGGAAAGGAGGGCTTAGGTGGTCTTGGTCCTGTAGTGATGAGGAGTAAGGATAGAATGGCTATCACGATGATGACTCCAAAAGCCAGCATCTTGAACGGCCTGCCTGAACGAATGATCCAAACTGAGACGCCATGGATGAAAGCAGCAGCAAAACAAAAGTCTCCCAGACATCAAATACGTGTTCGGGCCAGAATTGGAAGAAAATAGGTATATTGTGAGACTCTGATATCAGACACTTTCTGCTGCGGGTACGTAGAGACGTTGACGGCGAGCCCTAGTACTCCCATTATCACTGCCCTGCAGCGGTGCGGCCCATAATCTAACCACCCGGATTAATCGTATTAAGGTCGCTGAGTTCTTGCCAAGAAGCTTGCAAAAGAAGAAACAATTGCGAACATTGAGCTCGACGTAGATTACTAGTAGCTGCCAGCACAAGCCAAGATTTTCCGTTTCCAGACCTGGCGCACATCAGCTTCCAGATAGTACCGAACAAATTTCAGCTCCACGTTCTTATTTTCTTTTTCATCAACGTTGGGACAAGGCTGGGATGGCGAAAGGCTTGTAAGTGGGCTCCCTGAACGTGAATTTTGGAACGTGATTTCGTCTCGATGATCCCGTCCATCCTGCTGGCGCACCATCATTGCGAGCTGGCCACTCGTGATGCCGAATTGTGCGGTTGTTGGACAGAATGCTGGCTGGATGTGAAGGTCTTCGTGAGGCGGTGGAAGTGCGTGCAACCATTGTTCGCGCAGCGGCAATCCAAGGGAAGACGTAGGAGGAGGTGACTGCTTTTCTTGCCCGGTCTCAAGCAGCGTATCGCCTCCATCTCCTTCCTGACGAGTTGCAAAGCTCTCGCGTTCCTCGATATCTAATAGGGATTTCGGATCTGAGGTCTTCAGACCACGGTTGTCACCTCTGCATCGAGGCGATACGCTTCCGAGCTGCCTCTTACCCTGCCAGAGCCCAATGAAAGAAAGAGCCGATATCAAAACAATGATTACCAAAATGAAGAAGAAAAGAGTAGGCATTGCATACATCTGTGCCGACGAGCTGTACAAAGATGGTAATTTCTTGTTTGTCCGGGGAGAATGTATGGTTGTCTGGGTCTCGCTTTGTAATTGAGAACACAAGAAGCGGCAGGCCAATACACCCGGCGACAGAACAAATCTTATAGCAAGAAATCAGAACAATTATGGCCCAGGCGAGCACGTAGACCAAAGGAGACGAGGTTGCCGCAAGCCACAAGCATTGTACGAGAATGCAGCTGCTTCGGTCTGACGATTCACAACGCACCACATCGAAATGCACTTCACCTATGTATGTCATGTTAATAAGCTAAGAATTAAGACATGAACCAAAGGATTAGGGTATATTCTTTCTGCTGGTAGACTCATCATGCCCTCTCGGATGTATATTGTCAAGATCACATTCGGCTTGAGAGAAGCAAATCGAGGTCTTTGGCTCTCAGAATGATGTCTGCTGTACCCAATGGCTTTGCGCCATCTTTGAGATTCAGCTGCGGGCAGGAGCGCCATTGTGCTATTTAGAGTCCGTTCTCGGCTAGCTGCTTTGTTCGTGAACGAGGGATGTGAACCCTGAAGAGGAGACTTAGGCTAGAACATCTTTGAGGGACTAGGTCTCGGACTGAAATTCTCGTCGCAAGGTTGTAGCTAAGCGGCTTTTCGTGGAGTAGTGAAGCTAGCGAGTGCTGTGGAACGAGTACGAAATGGCGACAGTCAATAGGTATGCCAGGTTGCTGAAAATAAATCGACTAGCGTTGATGTACGACATGATCTCGTTCTTTGGGTTAGTAGCCGGAACACGCAGGTTTGGATGGTGGTTGTGGAGGTCAGGCAAAGATGTCAGCTCAGCCATGGTGCCTATGGTATGGAGTTGTGCGTCAAAGTAGTTGACTGTCGCTAGATTGTGGCTGAGCAGCTAGCCAGCTTCATCTTAGTTCCTAATACTTACGTAGTAGTCTCTTAGGCCATCTAACATTTGATAGGCTGTTAGGGTCTGAGGTTAGGGATGATAGGGCCTACAAGATAAGATTACACCTTGTAAGGAGCATTTAAGTACCTATCGAGTATAAGGATAAGGACCATTTAGTAGCTGATATAAACATCATTTGAGGCTAACTCCTTATACTATTAGTTGGTGGGTCAACCCTACATCCCTGGCAGCGCCACACTGCCCACGACTCCGTAACTGTGCGGCAGATGAGAATTCAAGGTTATCGCCTCGGCATTTGTGACTAGTTAATCAATCGCAGGGCTTCATTCACACATCAAAATCATCAGGATCCAAACATCACCGAAGCCCTCAGAGAGGAACAGAGTTCTGCAAAAAACTTCAGAGACTATACTGGTATGGCACACGCATCAAAGACACATTTGGCTGCATCAAGCAGTTCATCTGCACTTCTTTTTAAACCCTCGTTGGCTTCGTACTAAATTATATGGCTAAAGGTGTATATACTCTGAAGATGCGCGCGCGCAAGAAGGGGTATCGTTGTCCAGCGACCGTCAAAAATTCAGGAATAAGACACCTCCGCTAATGACGAAAAAGGACCCGCCTGCTATGCATAAAGTAGATTACCAATATCAGGGATCTTTTGGGAGAATGAGAAGTAATGTTGTAGGAACTCTCGTGGTATCCAACCTGGACACCTCAGAAACCTTTACATCATTATGAGCCTTGTCGTTCTCCTTTCAGGAAATCGGCCGCCAGAAGCTGCTGCCGACGCACCGGGGTTGGGTGGAAATGGAAACAGGAACGTGTTTCCTGGTGTTCCTGCCGGTCCAGGTCCTGACTGTCTCAAGCCAGCACGTGGACCTGCTGGTAGACCATGTCTCGCTAACGGGGTGATATCGCTTGAAAGGGTTGGGCGTGGTGAAGGGCTCGGCCTTGGAGGCAGGAAAGCATCATCTGGCGATTGGACTGGGACACCAGCTGCTAACTTTGCGTCTCGTTCACAGTATGCCTTGCCCATCCATTCAAAATAGTCGTTATGTAAGCTGACACAACAGGTTGAGCATGTCAAGCATTTGGGATGAAACTTCTCGGCCTCCTTGCCATTCGTTTTGGTTGCTTCCAAATATTGCCCTTCTATGCCTTTACCACAGCCCGTGCATAGTGAACCATTCAATGCGTGATAGTGCTCGGAGCAAAACGGATGATCATCATGAACATAGAAGTCTGCTGTTTCAAACGGACCATGACAAGTATGGCATGCAAAACATTGCTTATGGTATCGACCGCTTAGTCGTCCGTCCTTACTCGAGATGGACTTCTGGCCCGCCATGATTGGTTGAGAGCATCCTCTGCAAATGCCCTTGTTTCCACCTCTGGTCCCTCGACGATTTGGTAACTCTCGTGAGGACAGATTACGGGAGGAGGCACGGCCTGAGACTGTCGACGAGCTAGCGGTGGAGAATGGAGGCCTGTTCATCGATGGTTTGGGAATCGGTGAAAGGCAACCTTGAAGACAAAATGGATCTGTTGGAGAGTCCGGCAGAATGGAGGGTAGAGCAGGTTGTGGAGGTAGAGCTAGGTCTGGTGGGGGCGTATGAGCCGCATCATTTTCGTGCTTTGTCTCTGATATTTCTCTTGCCAAAGTTATATTTTCGGTTGGTGGACTAGCATACGAGCTACCACTCTGAGCCATCGAGGTGCTGGATGCATTTGAAGATGAAGACTCAGAGGACATATGAGATTGATTTGCAGGATCAAGGTCATTGATTGCGTGTTGTGCTGGTAAAGGTGGACGGCTCGAAGTAGCGAAATCGAACTTGATGTCCGTACGGCTAGTAGTTCGAACAGGATAGGGGCGATTTCTAGGAACAGTTCGATTACTGTTTCGGCTAGCGGTGCGAGGAGGATACATGCCTGGCAGTTGTTGGGATATCGAGCTCTGATTTGGTGGTATATACGCTTGATGAGTAGTCTCTGATGCAACAGGAGGCCTTCCTCCTAGTCCAACAGATGACGGCTCCGAAGGCCTCCTGCTGATGAAATTGTTGGAGCTATTGCCCGACATCCTAACTTCGTTGCGTGCCGGAAATGTCTGCGAGCGATTAGGTGATAGGGGCGGTCGCTGCGAAGCCTGATCCATCAGAGCTTCTCCTTGTGACGGGTTGGGCCTGAGCCCGAGAAAGCCCGCGCGTCGAGCTTTTGGGGCAGCCAGAGGTGCAGCATTCACAAATACTGCGTCGGGTAGAGGTGGTGGTTGCTTCTTACCAGTTTTCGGCCCTCCTGAAATACTGGCCAGCGATGGCTTCCTTCGGCCATCAGATGTCGATGGGCGCGTCAGGATTTCCGGTCTGTTTCCCATAGTACCACTCTTATTCCTGCTCCCTGTGCTCAACACTGACCTTGTCCGAGAGTGTTGTGGAAAAGATGGGCTGGTTGGCCCAGACTGGTTGTAGGGCTCAGCATGCTCCCTCACATATTCACTACCAAAATGTGAATCTGAGTTCAGTGGTTGCTGTACTGGAGTCGCACTACGTGGTGCTGTAATTGGAAAGGGCGGGAAAGCACAGTCAAGATTGGTGTATTCTGGAGAAGGTGGACCCTGTGGTGGGTATGCAATAGGACTTCGTTCAGATATGGTGAAGGGCGACTTCCGGCCGTTGGATCCGTTGATGGGAGAGGCTGTATCGCTGCTGGCTGGTGTCAACTCATTTGGTCGAATAAATGTTCGATCTGTATTCAATCAGGGTCTAGAGTCCGAGCATTGAGCAGTCACTTACTGGCTGCAGAGGAGTCAACTCGCAGGCGAGGGCCAGGTCTTGAAAATGATCTGTCTCTTCGCGATACGGCAGGTGGTGCTCCATCAAAACCGTTGTTGCTGTTAACTGTTGGAGGAAATGCATCAGCTATCAATCTTCGCTCCTACGATGGTTATAAGAGAGGTCCAATGCTCACCTTGGGAAGCTGCCGAACAGACATGATCACCCATCATTGATAGTTCGATCTCAAGAGCACAATTTGAACATTTGATGGCTGGCAAAAAGCTTCCCGCTCGCGGTGCTGCAGCCATGTTGATGAACTTCTAGCCCTCCTTGCACCCAACAGCACGGCGGCAGGTCGAAGCCCAATCATGGGATCCCAACTTTTCCCATTCCCTTAGTTGTGCATTCAATGCCCTGGGAAGATAGACGGGTCCCCTCCTAAGCTTGCCCCTTTTAGGATTGTGCTTGCGTGTGGGCGGTTCTGGTCAGTTGTGATGGGCCAGGGGGTAGATCGATGTCAACGGCGTAGATAACGAGTCAAATGTCGAGACCAAGTCCGTCTTGTGACTTTTTTTTAATTGGACAGAGTTCAAGTAGCAAGGAAAAAGTGGAGCGGAAGCGGTGAAAGGCGGTAATGTGGAGAGTTGATAGGAGACTAATTGCAGATTGACAGAATCTAATCTCGACCGCACAAATTTGCTGTGATATGTACCAAACGAGAGCAAGACGATCACAGTGCACATAGCAGAAGGAGCATTCCATGAAGAGGCGGCTGCCGAGTCCGAATGTTGTACGCATAGGTCTATGTGAATAGTCTATGCAAGCTCAAACAGCTGAAGCTCCATGATAAAGAGATGCATAATTGCGCAGAAACTGGACAAGACCTGGGGAATGTGGCTGGTCCGAAAGGGGTCTCGGAGGTTTACTACGTAGAAGACTAACTAAAGTAGTTAATGGTGCAGCCGCCGATCCAGGGGCTGCTGGTACCCCAGAGGACAAACCAAGACATCAGACATCACAGACTTCTCCGCTGTTACTACCATGTACCTGCTAGGAGAGTGTAGAGTGCGGTACCTGTAACCTCGGCCCGCCAGACGTCATGCTGCTAGCCAGGATGAGTTACTCGCAGCAGTTAGAGATCGCAATTGCACTGGTCAGTAAAACCTTTGAAGAAGTACTAGGGCTCCAGCAGGAAATACGAGGATGCTCTTGTTAGGGGTAAGAAGCCGGGATAATTGTGGGCGTGTCAAGCATTCATTGATCAGGTAGCGTAGACGAGCGTCCATCGGCGAGTCGTGTCCACGCGATGTTTATGCTTACAGATCTCCAACTGAGAAGTCAAGAGAAGAGTACTGCGGACACTCTGCTGCTGGATGGCATTTTGTTTTGATTGAGGTTGGCATCGAGCTTGGCATCCTGCCGATCTGTTGAGCCCGTTTTGGAAATGTTTCGAGGGGGTCGCCCGAAACAGCAAAGATTCATGCAGTGAAACTTACTACGTACAAGTTGCCCATGATATCAGCAGAACACTGATCACAGTCGAAGAATAAGACTATTTGCCAGGCTAATGGATGACAACACGGATGGCTATGTCCCATCATCCATCAATGGTTACAGTCAAGAAGCACACCCAGTGATTGCTCGCCCTAGGATCAGGTTGACCGCGGGATTGCCAGCAAAACTACTACGTACTAAAGATACTCGTTGATTCTCGAATGACTCAGGTCTGCTTGTAAAACGAAGGTCTGGGAAGGCTACGCAATCATACACTAACGTGACTAACTGAATTGTGCAACACACCCCCATTGGCAACAGTTTGAGGCCGATATCTCCATGCCTACCAAACCTTCAAGCCACCAATTTCCAATTCAGTTCGCTGCCATTTCATCCAATCAATTGCAACTAGCGCAGAGACGAGTCGAGTGGACAGAATCTAGCAATGTTTGACTACATAATTGTCTACTTGAACTATCGATCAATTTTATTTCCAAGATAGGGCCAGCAACTTCGAAATACGTTACTACGTAAGTAATTATGTTGCAACTGGGGGTATATTGCACCTGTGGGCTGGCCATGTTACTGGAGAAGATGACGAGCCCATACTAAACTCTAACATATATTAGCTCTTCCGATATCGTCTTTGAACAATCAGGTCCAAGTTGCCGCGCTCTCAGTTGGAAGAACATTCTCTCCACCATTCTTCGCCATTCATCAACACAGTTGGGGCCCAAAGCCAGCAAAAGATCTCGTCTCACAGCCTCTTTCATTGTAGCAACGCTGGATCACTTTCTAAAGTGATCCCCCACCGCCAAAACGTTTTCCAATCTACTCAACTCGTAAGCTGGCTCAGGCTCCTTACACCTCCATTCTATCTTAGTTGGTCGGAATCCTTATATGATGACCGTCATTGATATGTGTGCTCTTATCAGGATCCATCACCCTTTCAATTGCGGTAGACGCTCATCCGCACGTGGAGGGGCGTTGGATAGTCCACTGGTTCGATAGTCTAGTATTGAGTCAAGTCTACATTCCGATTTTGCAAGTGCCACTTGAATCGCTTAACAATGGCACCTCACGCAGAGACAGCAGACCGTGCTGTAGATGGGTGGTATGCGAGTAACTCCAAAGCTACACCAGACCCTCTCTACACAGTGGATTCGCCCAACGTTGTCTACACCGACTCGACCATCAAAACAAAGTATACGTACCGTACTACCTCTGTCACTAAATCGGCCAATGGACCTTATGTTGCTTCTCCAAAGGAGACAGTCTATGATTTCCAGGTCGATCGTGCTGTTGGGAGAGTTGGCATGATGCTTGTTGGCTGGGGAGGCAACAATGGCTCCACTGTCACTGCCGGCATCATCGCTAATCGTCGTGGCCTTCTCTGGGACACTCGCGAGGGCAAACAGGCTGCCAATTACTACGGCTCGGTGGTCATGGCGTCTACCATGAGACTGGGAATCGACTCGGCCACTGGGAACGAGGTCAATCTTCCCATTCACGATATGCTTCCAATGGTTCACCCGAACGACCTCGTCATCGGTGGCTGGGATATCAACAGTATGCCTCTGGATAAAGCCATGGATAGAGCACAGGTTCTCGAGCCTACCTTGAAGGAACTTGTCCGAGCAGAGATGGCGCTGATGAAGCCACTTCCGAGTATCTACTATCCGGATTTCATTGCCGCTAACCAGGAAGACCGTGCAGACAATGTCTTGGACGGAGCCAGAGCTTGTTCTGCTCATGTTGAGAAGATCCGCCAGGACATCCGGTGAGTTCTACCCCATGAGTACACCGTAGGTAGACTCTAATTTGTTTTCAGTGACTTCAAGACCAAGCATGAACTAAACAAGGTCATTGTGCTCTGGACAGCAAATACAGAACGCTTTGCTGACATTATTCCTGGTGTCAATGATACGGCTGATAACTTGTTGAAGACCATCAAGACTGGACACGAAGAGGTCTCTCCGTCAACAGTTTTCTCGGTGGCTTGTATCCTTGAAAATGCTCCATTTATCAACGGCTCACCACAGAACACGTTTGTCCCGGGAGTGATCGAGCTTGCCGAGCAGCATAGAGCTTTCATTGGCGGAGACGACTTCAAGTCGGGTCAGACCAAGATGAAATCTGCCCTCGTCGACTTTCTCATCAATGCTGGAATCAAGTTGACGTCCATTGCCAGCTATAACCACCTCGGCAACAACGACGGCAAGAATTTGAGTTCGCAGAAGCAATTCCGCTCCAAAGAGATCTCCAAGTCCAATGTGGTCGATGACATGGTTGCCTCGAATGATGTCCTGTACAAGAAGGGTGAACATCCTGACCATACCGTGGTCATCAAGTACATGCCAGCTGTTGGGGACAACAAACGTGCTCTTGACGAGTACTATGCCGAGATCTTCATGGGAGGTCACCAGACCATCTCCATGTTCAATGTCTGCGAGGACTCGTTGCTCGCGTCTCCCTTGATCATTGATCTTGTCGTTGTTGCTGAACTCATGACGAGAATCTCTTGGCGAGCTCACGTTGATGGTGCTGCTGACAAGGATTACAAAGGGTTCCATAGCGTTCTTAGCATCCTAAGTTATATGTTGAAGGTACGTGGTCTGGCGCTCACTCACGGCCTGTTATTGACACGATCTCAGGCACCCCTGACGCCGCCTGGGACACCCGTTGTGAATTCTTTGGCCAAGCAGCGCGCAGCGTTGACCAACATATTGCGCGCCTGTGTTGGTCTTTCTCCCGAATCAGACATGACACTTGAGCACAAGCTATTTTGATTTCTGGCTCGCCTAGAGTCATGACAGCTTCTGCATGGCGTCCTGAAAGACGTTGTTCCCGCAGCGCTGGAGGGCGGTAGCGGTGCGGTGCGGTGCGGTGAGATGTTGAGCACTTTTCATTCTTGAACCACATGGAGACATGTTTTACTTTCCTTTTTGTTGAATACACGCTCTTTTTACAGATAGTGATGACCAGTCTCAATCCAGTGATGCTGAGTAGGCAACCCTTGTGCGAGTCATTCTTGTGAATGTGAATGTCAATGTCAATGTGAATTCTCTGGTGCCCCTCTGAGCGTCGTTCGGAAATGCCGCCCTGGAGGCTGACTGACTTAGCACAACCTGTTCCCTTTCCCACTCATGTCAATATCTGTTACAGTCAACTTGACTCTCATCCCCTCTTCCGTCATGGCGAAGTCTCCTCCAATCATCAGGTCATTCTTCGAGCCTATCCCGTCACCCTCACAATCTGCACATAAAGGCCATCTTCCCACTCTGCAAACTACTACAGCTGCGAATGAAGGCGGGCTCATTGAGCCCAAAGCCAGAAAAAACACAGCAAGGCTCAGTCCGGGTCATTGGCAGCCTCGACATGATTATGAGGAGGTCAGCATCGGCGAACTCGCACCGGGACCTAGAAGGGTTTCCTTCATTGCCCGAGTGGTCAATCTGTATGATGATCAGAACGTGCACAGCAAGAAGTCAGATTCAGCAAAAGGATGCTTGAAGGTTCTGATGAAGGATGACAGTGCCTTGATACAGGTTTGACGAGCATGAATTTTCTGTATGAGTCACTCCGGTTGACAATATGGCAAAGACCAACCTATGGTATGCGGACGTGCCCTACCAAATCCGCTTGGGTGATCTGGTTGCTGTCTGGACGACATATGTTACCTCAGCCTCGTCCAATCCCGCATCAGCCGACAGCAGTCAGGCAGCAACGCTGGTTACTCACATCTTTCCAGAAAGAGAAGCCGGTTGTGCAATCCGCAATGCCAATCGATCAGGCTTGGACCAGTCCGTTTGCAACACTCCTCTCGGATACGTCTGTGGGCGTTCACTATTCGGCCTGGTGAGTTTGACATCATTCTTCGACGACAAAGGTGATGAAGTGCTCAATGCGAAAATCCTCGTTTGTGTTAAGGCAATTGGTAGCATGCCCACCTGTATGTTCCGCCCACCCTCGTCTCCCCCTTAAACGATCTTCAGAACTAGGCTTACTAAGGCTGAATTCACTTTTACATAGCCACATCAAAAGAAGGCGACCCCGTAAGAACATTGAGTGTCGTTATCTGCGACGAAAGCAGCGAGGCCACTCTGTCCATTTCCGGGCCCGTCGTCTCATCAGCGATATTATGGAAGGAACACTCGACGATCCTTCTCCTCTCCTCACCAGCGAAACGGCTTGGTCATAACCTCACCATCACAGCTCGTACTCTGATCGAGATCAACCCCAATGTCAGTGAAGCCGAACACCTACGAAAATGGATCCAGCGCGAGAACTGTCCCATCAACGAGCCATTTCCAGTAGCCCTCTTCGACATCAAAGCCATAGCCCACGCACCCATCCGTCTTCAATTCACCCTCGCAAGCCTCGACAGCTTCATCCGTGCCTTCCCTTCCCAGCCACATACTGGGTATCTATCCGTCATTCTAACCAAACTCAATCTCCTCTCTCTATGGAAGACGCAGCAGCTCTTCTCGATGCAATGCCGCTGCGGCCAAGCGATCTACGCCAACGCACGCAGCGGCCACTGCGCAGCATGCAACACCTCCGAGATCAAACTGCGCATCAACGCCAACCTCGTCTCCGAGATGACGGACGAGACGGGGGCCATCTCCAGCACATTCCTGGCCTCCACCTCTCACCCGCCTAATCCCTCCAAAACCACCCACACCTCCAGTAGAACACACAGCAGAAAACCAAGCAAGATCCTCTGGACAGACGAAGCATGGACGCAACTCCTCGGCCGGAGCCCAGAGCAGCTGGCCAAGCTGGTAGACACGTGCGACGCGGCACAGGCGCAGCACAATCTCAGCATACTGCGCTATCTGGAACAAAGACTCTCGTTCATGCGCGTCATACTCCTCGTGGGCTGGACCGGAGATGATGAGCTGGGAGGCCGGCTGGCCGTGCTGGGCGTGGTTGGCTGACTGACTGACTGACTGACCGACTGACGAACTGACTGATGATGCCCGTAGCAGACAGGGCATATATGCATCTTCGATAGACTCCTTTAAATGGAATTCGTTTCTGACTACCTACATATTCGGTAGCTAGAACACCCACAACATGGACCGTACTGTATAGCTAGCTAGCTGTAAATTTGCGATGCTGATTGACACAAATCTGTATTAGTATTAAATATATAACACCCCGAACCTAGGATTCGAGATTCTCGTGTCTGATCTGGAAAGGGAATATGGCCCGCTTCAGGGGAGCATCGAGGGAAGCATGCGGGAGGTCTTGCGGAAAGCCTAGAGGAGCATGAAGAGAGGAAGAGGCAGCACTATGAGGCCGTGCAGAGCCAGGTGGCAAGGGGGCACAGCAAGTGAGAGCTGAAAGTGACCGCATCAGCATCGAGCTTAAGCTGTCCCTCCCTCCTTTTTTTCCTCTTCGATAAGTACAGTATTTTTACCCCCTCTCACCTGCTGGCCGGGGACCTCCGCCCTGTTCCGCAATTGGAAGTTATAGATATTATATCTACCAGAAACGAAGCACGCACCTCATCGTCTATGTGCCCTTCCTCCCTTACCGTCCGTTTGTTCTGAGCCTGATCAGCCCCCCAGCGGTAGACAGAAAGTGATTAACAAAACGTGTGATATCATGTAATAAGGAACCCAGACAATGACGATGACGGTATAGGCTCAGTATCATCATAATCATGTTCATTCTACGTAACTTTTTCTACGGTCGTCTTAAGACGTTCTAGCTTGGAGTGAAGAACTCAAACCACAATCATCATCGTCATCATCATCATCACCACCACTGCTAGACAACTCTCGACTTGCCTTGATGGACATCGTCGCAACAGCTAATAGTCTTGCTTGTCACCCAATTAAGGATTCTGGCCTGCTCGACAGCAAGGGTGCTTCCCCATCCCTCCGACCATCCCACCCAGTAGCATTCATCATTTTACAGCTCTCAGATGAGCTGGGTGAACGCTCGGTTGATAGGACTGCGAACCTTGGTATCCTTGTAGAAGTCGATAGTGGCCATTGCTCTCTTAGCTACCCCTTCGGGTACGAAATCGAACTTCTGTAGGTAAATGGTTAACGAAAGGGCACTGGAAAGGGCATTAGCGTCTTTCAACTTACCTTGTACACATCCTTGTAAGCTCCTGAGGCACCAAATCTATTCAGACCAAACTGCTCATGTGAGTATCTCTCCCAGCCAAGCGTGCTCATCACCTCCACACTCATAGAGGGAATCCCATCTGGCAAGCATTGGAGCCTATATTCCTTTGGCTGAGCATCAAAGACCTCAAAGCACGGCATTGACACGACACGGGCCGTTACATCATGTTTATCTTTCAGGTACTTGGCCGCCTCAACACAAAGGCCGACTTCGGATCCAGTCGAAACAAGCGTGACGTTGGCCTTTTCAGCCTCAAGGGCGACGTAACCACCTTTGATGGCCTTTTCGATTGTTGAATTTTCTAATTGAGGAAGGTTCTGACGTGTGAGCGCGATGATGGATGGAGTTTGTTTGCTCGTTATTGCCATATAGTACGCAGCAGATGTCTCATTACCATCAGCCGGGCGCCAAACCATCATATTGGGCAGGGCACGGAAGTGGGCAAGGGTCTCGATCGGCTGATGGGTGGGACCGTCTTCACCAAGCCCAATTGAGTCATGTGTTGCGATGTAGATGACGCGAGCGTGTGAGAGCGCGGAGAGGCGGACGGAACCAGCAGCATAGGAAACGAAGTTGAGGAAAGTACCGCCTGCTGGAATGAGAGTGCCATAAGCCGCGATACCGTTCATGATACCTGCCATGCCGTGTTCACGCACACCATACCGCAGATATCTTCCTGACCATTCGCCGATGCCAAGAGACGGTGGTTGAAAGTCGATGGCGTTCTTCCATCTGGTATTGTTGCTTCCCGTCAGATCAGCAGAGCCGGACAAGAGCTCGGGAACAGCCTCGTGAATCTCCTCCAGGACCTTCTCGGAAAGCTTTCGAGAGGCTTGCGCACCATCTGTAGGCTTGTAGACGGGCAATTTCTTCTCCCAGCCTTCCGGTAATTTCCCATCCAAGCGTCGTTGGAGATCAGCACCGAGGTCTTTGTGCTCTTCCTTGTATTTTGAGAACAGCTGATTCCATTCTTCTTCGGCAGCAGCACCTTCCGCAGCGTGCTTGTGGTATGCATCATACACCTCTTTGGGGACAACGAAGGACTCTTCTGGGTTAAAGCCAAACTTCTGCTTGACTTGCTTGCAGTCGTCCTCCTTCAAGGGATTCCCGTGAACGCCCCCGGTACCCTGAAGCTTGGAGCCAAACCCAATGGTGGTTGTGAGCTTAATGACGGATGGCTTGTCCTTGACTTCTTGTGCCTTCTTGATAGCTGCTTCCATGCCTTCGAGGTCTGTATCGCCCTCCTCCACCCATTGTGTATGCCAGCCGTATGCATCAAATCGTTTGAGGACGTCTTCAGTAAATGCGCACTTGGTATCACCGTCTGGAAGCAACGTCAGTTTTGCAGGCAAAATGGAGGTCTGTGGTGGAATCACCAATAGAGATATGGTTATCATCGTAGATCATGATCAGGTTGCCCAATTGCAAGTGACCAGCAGTACTGGCAGCTTCGCTTGCGATGCCCTCCATGGCGCACCCATCACCAAAAAAACAGTATGTGTAGTTGTTGATAAGGTCGTAGCCTGGTTTATTGAAGACAGCTCCAGTGTGGGCTTGAGCAATGGCAAGACCAACTGCATTGGCGAACCCCTGCCCAAGTGGGCCAGTGGTGACTTCGACGCCATCGGTGTCGTGGCATTCCGGATGTCCAGGTGTGATGCTGTCAACTTGCTGCCGAACATCCCGTCAGCTCGAAACACCACTGAACTCATCGTTGCTGAAGCTTACTCGGAAAGCTTTCAGGTCGTCCATGCTAATCTTGTAGCCACACAAATGCAGCACGGCGTACTGAAGCATACACCCATGCCCGTTCCTGGGAAAGTGGAATCTGTTAGCAACATTGACAAGGAGTACAATAGACTAGGGTGATATGTTGGATCGTGCAAGTTGAGGTGCTGTTGATCTAGCAGCTATTTCTATCCACACTGATAGGTGTGGAAAAGTCCAAGAACATTCAACTCGCACGCCCCTTGATCGTATGAAAGGATTATCAAGTGATCGATTTACTCACGAGAGGACAAATCGATCTCGATTCACCCAATTAGGATTCTTGGGGTTAAAGGTCATGCATTTATTGAAGAGGACATGAGCAATCGGCGCCATCCCCATGGGAGCTCCGGGATGACCGGAGTTCGCTTTGAAGGTTGCATCGACCTAATGAGAGACGAACAATATTAGTAATAGTGCTGGACAGACTGGAGAAGCTCTAGAGAAAAAAGTGTCTGATGGATGTATTCAAGGCGGGGGAGCTGGTGAACTCACAGCAAGAGTTCGAATGGTGTTGATGGCCAGTTGATCAATATCACCGTAACCCATGATGGCGGTTTGTTCGTATGGTATCCTCCGTGTGATGCAGTACGCAAATACCAGAGCAAAGAGTAAAATGAGCAGGTTGGGTGTTAAGAAATCTCAGAAAGCCGATCAGTGTGTTATGTAAATTCAGTAATCTGAAGGAAGAGGCTAAAGGTGGGGTAGCAACTTCCATGTCACAAGGTTTAGCCGACCGCTACATCACAAAACAATTCGTGTACCAAAGACTCCTCGGGGTTCTAGATAAGAGCGATAGCACTCCGTACGTAGTATTTCTTCATTATCTACCCGGCTACAGTGGCAAACGAATCGAGAAGGCTGTTGAGATGTCACTCCATCATGAGGTCTAGGCCTCGCAACGCCGCTTCTATCGCAGACTCTCGCCCCGGAGTTCTCGGATTTCAATTCTCTGATTTCGTCCTTCTTCCAGGGCAAAGGTTGGCTTTGCTGACAACGAATTGACCATGGCTCGTAGTGGCCGAGGAACGACGACAACGACCACTTTGGTAGGCAAGCGAAAAACAACATGCGAATCTTCCGCTTTAGCGATCTTCTGCTGCCCAGAGAATTATATTTTGACGAACACTGAATGTCAAATCAAGCAAAGCAAGACTGCCTCTCAGTTTTTCTGCTGCAACACACCAAGGCAGTCATCCATTGTCGCAATCTCAGTACTGGCATTACGGCGCCGGGCGCACGCCAATGATAAATCCTCCGTGTTGACAGCTACTATGGTGTAAAGAGTACATTGTAGTCGTAAGGACAATCGTGGCTAATCGTCAATCTTTCTCGAACACCAAACACTCGTGCTCAAAGATGTAGTGCAGAAGACTTACAGGGGAAGTGCTAATAGTATTAATTGGGGAATTTGTCATGTTTCAGCATTGGAATGCCCTTCAAGCTCCTTCTGCCGACGTCCAGAACGTCTGTCTGCTCAGGAGAACTAGAGCCATCGTTACTACCACAGCCACTGAAATCCTCTCCACCACTCGTCATGCTCTCTTGCGACGTGCTCAAAACACTTTGAGAAGCCAGTCCCTTGGTAGGCAGATCGATTGCACCCACGGGCCACTCTTGATCAAGCCAGTCGTGCGGGTTTGTGAGAGTACTCACGACAACTCCAGACGGGATTGGGAGATCTGATCTTGCAAGACGCCGTTCAACAATCCATCGTACACATGCAACTTCGAGCTGTCCATACCCTCGAAGTTCCGGGCCCACTCGCTGTTGGAACTTGCCATCACTTCCTTCGGAAAGGGTAAGAAGCGGTCGGCGACGTAATTTTGGCTAAAAGTAAGTAGTCCAGATTAACAGTGGAAGGTGTTGAGTCCATGAAGGTACGAGTTGTAGGTGGCGAAGTGATAGAGAATACAGCTAAGGAACGGGTGGAGGACAGACTGAGCTGGCTCGAAGCCCTGTGATGGGCCCTCAAGAAGGACGGGCCAACTGTTGTGACTGTAGCGCATCTAGGTGCCTCCTCAGCTTGGTGTTGATGCGACTATGTAAGCGACAAGAAACGAGATGCGATGACCTGCAACTGACGACGCGCTGTCTTTGGTTTCGATTCAAGCGTCAGCATCAAGTTGTGGTCGCAAAAGAAGTGGGGAATTACCTATGGTAGGGATCAGTAAAAGATGGTGACCCGATCTTGGGCGCAACCCGAAACTCAACGGCGATGGCCGCCGAATCTTGAAGAAGAAGCGTTGTAATCGTGTCCAAAGATTTCTGGGTGTCTCTGGCGAATCTGCTGTCTTGGGAAAGCCCAAGACATTGCCAGAGTAGCGAAAAGCCAGAATTCAAAAGTAGTTCAGTCTTGTTCATAGGGAAAGTGTAGTTCATGTTTCTCTCCTCAAGCAAGTGCAGAATTTGCACGATATGCTAGGCTGAGTCGGCAATAGTGATCAAGGATGCTGAAGCACTACTGCTGTGACCATGACAGACAACGGGACGATGAATTAGATTGCGTATGAAGAAATATGCAAAAGACTGGTAAGGCGGATTAGTCCGATGGCATAGGTTGAAGATGGAGACTCATACCAGAAGGGGACTCCTGTCAGTGATTACCCCAGTAGAGGGTTCGTCATTCAGAAACTTCATCCTCAAATGTGTTGGAATGCATTTTAACCATTGATCTAATTCATCCGATATCGACTTCATATCGCTTATAGATAACCAGTACGCAACTGATGCAGGGACAAGCTGGTCGAGTGCGCGTGAAAGGATTCTGCAGATCTTGAAAAACGCCAAAGCGCTCGTTATCTTGGTGAGCTCTCCGGACAGACCTGGCAGGAATCCTTGTTCTATCAGGTTCCCATCATCAACGTCTGACGGGTACTCGGTACTCACTTCCAACTCGCGGATCAATGTAGGAGCACCCGATGAGGCTGAAATACACCTAGAGAGACTATCAGGTCGAGCGTTGGAGAGTCGATGATTAAAGAGCATACTTTTCCAGCGTGTATTGGCACCAGAAGACCTTCTTGCGCGTCTCCAGTTCCAAACAGTTCAACCAACAATACTTCTGAATGTGGTGAAGATCCATTTCATGACAGATGCTCACTGCTATGGCCCTGTAGCGGGCACAGTGGGAATAATCAACCTTGAGCAGGTAGTACAGCTGAGCAAGGAGATGGCATTGGAGAGTCGCCACAGAAGGCAGTGAGGATATCAAATGTATTGCTTTTCGCCATTGAGGTTCATATGATGTCGTGCTTTGTTTGGTATGCGAGATAGAGGATAAGTCGGCAATATCAAACACCAAACATAGCTGCGCCACAGCCTGCTTATTGTCGTGCTATTCTCCCGCCTCTGGATCGGCAAGATATTCTTCGTAAACTTCAAGATAGTAGCCGGTGGAGAATGGGGAGAAGAGGTGCCCATTCTTGGAAGAAGATGTTGATGTATTGATCCGACAGTAAGCGAGGTAGAAAGGTAGAGGGGCATTTCGCAGTTACGGATGATGCAGCTCTGGGTTTGACTTGTGTATTGAACAATTGTGCATCGATCACTGGACATGGATCTCCAGATTCACTAACCTTTCGAGAAAAGCGTCTAGTACATCAATACTTGGCATGGCCTGACTGAATGAAAATGTGACGACATACCAATCAAGGTAATTTTGCATGACTGGCTGCCCGGTAGATTTGGACGGCATGATGGCAATTGTGCTTTGATCTGAATAGATTCTTCATTCGAGGCCTTAAAGTCTGCCTTGACCTCTTCACATGCCACGAAGGGGAGAGACGCCGAACCTTTCCGGGGAGGGGAGGAGAATGAATGAATGCGTGAGAGGACGTCTATCATTTCGTCCTTTTCGTCCCCAAAAACCTTCAGTTCTCGTACTTCTGCCTCTAGAGCTCTGATGCGGTCCTCGAGAGACTCCGTGTACCCGCGAGGAAATACTCTCCTGCTCAGCTTGTCACTTGTCTTGCACTCAAATCCAACGTTGGAGCATTGCGTGCATTGTCGACGTATGCCGTCACATCGAATCTTCTTGCTTCTACACCTGTTGCAGGCCTGGGCAATCCTGCTCTGTGCGTTGTTTCCAACCCTAATAACCTTCATTGGCAGGATTCCAGGCATCGTATTGACACTTTCCAAACAAAACTGTCGAAAGGAAAGCGTGGAGATGACTCCAGTCACGCTCCCATCTGAGGAGCCCAGACCTACTTTCTTTGCATTATAGTGGTGATAAGCAGTCTTGCGAAAGCCAAATCCTCAGATGCAACAAAGCAATTACAATATGACAAAATTAAAATCTGTGATCAGCAGAAGAGCGTAGGGGGAGGGATGCACTAGGAAAGTATTTGGAAGATGACGACTGTCAAGTTTGTCAAGACAAGTCGCCAACGATTGGTAGCGTCGAGGAATTGCGCCAATAAAAGTTTTAGCTGTTCAAGGGAAGTGAATATCCGGGGAAGGACCCCTGGTCCCAATCAAGGCCTGTCGAACAATTCATAACCACCCACAGGTTTACCCTGAACGCCAGCAGTTCGATACTTGTCAATCCATGATTTTCCCCTCACCTAGCTGATGTTAGCCAGCTATTCCAGGTGCCAGCCTCTTTTTAGGATTTAGTAATAGTCTGAACGGTTCTCGAGTACATGCGCATTTTCATATTCAGCTTAATTCGACTGCCGTCCCCTGGTATCTTGAAAGATCTGGACCTTGGGCCACCACAACCTGGTACTAAAAGACACATCTTGCTCGGCGAGTTGTAGCCAGGTTCAACCCTGGAAATGCACAAGCTCAGATCACGTGTGTATAGTTGGTCCCTTGCCCTACCTTGATGGAGAGTACTGTATTCAGTGATCCAAGCATTTTCCAGTAAGTGCTGAAGATGAAAATTTCTCAGCTTGTTGCTCAAGAATTTTCATGGCTTGGGGTTCGCCAGGAAGCGGTGTAAGCTCCCTGCGATGAATCATTGTTCGCATCTAATTGTTTGCTAGATTGCGATTTATGCAAAGTCATCCTCATTCGTTTCCGGGGGTAGATGCGAGTCGACGTTCGCTTGTGCTTCTTCAAGATACCTTCTCACTGTGTCGCTGCTCAGAAGGTCTGTCTTCTGCACAGCTGTCAGTGGGATGGAAAAAGCGGTAACAAAGATGACTTCTGACCTGTTCCTCGAACAATCGGTCAAATTGGGCTAGAAGGCCGGCCTCGCGGACTCTTAGTTGTCCAATAAGTATCCTTACCCCATCCCTAATTCCAGATTGCCCTTGGCTCTCCATGAACGATTCCTCGCTCGCCTCGAGATTGTTCGCTTGTCGGCTAACTCGATCCTGAAGCATGACAATCGCGCGCAGTTGGAAAATGTCCCACTTGAGATCGCTCTCTAATGTCTTCGACAGCTGAGAGGGGTCGATATGTTGGTCTTTCCACAGCACCTCAAGCCTTCGGTTTCCATCGTTTTCCTGGGTCACACGAAAATCAAGTCCGTCTTCCTCATTCACGCAAGCCCACCAGATGTAGTTACCTTCCCAATCAAGCTTTCCATTGCTATTAACGAAAAGTCTAACACCCGGTGCTTCCTTGTTTACAGTCTTCTTGGCCATACGTAGCGGGTCATCATCTGGGATTTGAAAGTCTAAGAAAATGGCTGTGGCACCCGACATTCCTGGCTCAAGGAAGCCATACGAGAAGATCATCTCGCAGGCCCCCTTTTCGTCTCCGTATGTAATGGTCACTTCTTCATCCGCGGCTAACTCTGTGCCAGGTCTAATTTGAAGTATGGCGCCGCCGTCGGCGCCCGTCTCATATGAAGCAATCGTTTCAATGCCAGACATGTGATTAGCCATGTCAATGCACGGGACCATTGCATTTCCGGTGCCTGGTAGATTCAGTGCGCGAGATCTGTAGAGGGCGTCCACCAGCATCCAGTCGTCAAATGACATTTTACCGCTATCTCTGTCCCACCAATACTTCTGACACCATGCTATGTCCCGCGTATATCCTTGGAGCTCCTCGAATTCGTTCTCCAGGCTTCGCAACTTTTGGTCGAGGGCGGCGTCTAACGATGTTCCATACAGCAGATCTTTCTCCTCGTCTGTATAGTAAGTCGGCAACAACACTGTTTCAGGTAGGAGTTTGACATAGTCAGTGTGTGGATTTGTGACTGATATCGGACCATCGAAATCAGGACTCGCGTTTGTGATTTGGACCAGTAAGAAGATTAGAATTGCACCTCGGGCTGTCTGTGGAGCTGCAAACGTAAGTCTATACATGTCGTTGCAGCCTCGTTAAAGGAAACCAGTGTACCACGTCGACGTCCAGGGTGGACGCACTTACCTTTCCAAACGCACCAGCAGCATCCAACACCGATTTCAGGGGCTTATCAATTGCGGCATAGCGGTCCACCTGTTCTCGTGACAAAATCAGGTCTTGAGGAACGGACACCAAAACTGCTGCGCTGTCCTTTGAGCTACGGTCGCACGTACTGACGAGGCCTGCGCCTCTAAAAACCCCGTCCTGCGAAGTGATGTCTGACTTCACATCAACGTTGATGAACTCGACACCGTTCAGCTTACCCCATGCAAACAGGTTCTCCACAGGGATCGTAGTCCGTCTCATTGTTATTATTGTTCAGTTTGAGCAGGCGTTTGCCAGTCCGTCTCACCAGTCACCCACTGTCAAGGACCACGGATAGATATTTAAAGAGCTGCACTCCTCCTCATAGCCTCCATCTGCACTAACTAAATATTTCTCTAACTAACCAGTAGTTATCGATAAGCTTAACTTAATCATCCAGCTAAGCTACTAAGCTAGCTCCAAGTCTAACTCCCTTTGTCGTTTCTCCATCATGACATCAGAAACTAGCCGGAAACCAGACAGATTTTGCTCATGGAACGGCATTCTCAAAGAACTAGCCAGGGCTGCCAGCCTGGAAATCCCTGGATTCGGTGAAATCATTCTGAACGAAAGCCCACCGAACAAAACTTCTAGAAACTCACCGCCGCCAGCATCATCCGCTAAGCCTCGATCGACAACATCTTCATCTACAACATCTACATTTTCGAAGAGCGAGGACTTCACCATGCCTATCCCTCGGATTTCGCTTCCTCGACCTGCAGTGTTGAGATCGCCTCTCCTCCGCACTTCCACAACAACACTCCGTCCACTTTCAACCACGAGCCCAGCGCTAGGTGCATGGTCTGGCCGCGGGCCAGACGAACATGCAGTGAACCGAACGGACGAGAAAGATACGCAGTCAAAGCCAGCACACCAGGGAATGAGAGAGAAGGACGAAGGTGACAGCCAGGCTCTTGGGATCTCTGAGAAAGGCGGCAAAGACAACAAGAAGGCGGAGCAGGACAAGCAAGAGGCACCAACGCCAGTGATTGGTATGAATGATGAACGGGGTGGGAAGGGTCGTTAGGAGAATGCTCGGGCTGAGGAGCGAGGACTGGTAGGGTGGAGAGCTAAAAGCATGGAAAGAAGCATGCCTTCCGAGCTGGGATCATCAACACACATTCATCAAGGCGTTGCGTGTGATTAGCATTTGCTTTGCTGGGCCTGGTGCTACCGTCCGACTTTGAAAGACAGGATCTATAACAATTGAGTATTCCAACGGAACTCTCCCGAGGCAAGGCTGCACTCACGTCGTTCTTCCCTACTGCCACAACTTGGTCCTCTGCCACTCTAGTACCTCCAGCACCTTCAACATATGCAATAGGGGCATCCCCCATAACTTTCCTTGCAACATCCGCGACTGTGCTGTTTCTGTGCATTTGATTAGTCGTCGCCTTGAACCATGTTAAGATCATATCTCTTACTTCTTTACAAGTACGCAGTCCCTGAAGACAGCGGAAGCACCGGCTGAGCCACTTCCAAAGGTATGGACATTGCGTACGGGAAAGACTGGCACCAGCCCAAGTAGATCTGCAGCCTTCCCCAATACCTGAACCACTCCGGTGCTACCAAATCTGTAGAGGACCATATCTTTCAGGTTCTCAATTCTTGTCCTGAGTTTCTCGTCCATTTCCTTCAGACCACCCCCGTCTTCTTCACCGGCTTCTATCAAGTCTTCCCGAGCGTCTACGTATTCAGCTCCTTCAGTGTATCTGATGTATTTTTGCTTCGCCAAACGCCTGAGAAATACTTCTGATATTGCCGAACAGAGCACTATCCGCTGCGGGTCCTGCATCTTTGCTATCTTAGCAATGTTTCGATCCGCATCCGGGTGATCAATCTTGTTTAGCGCAAGCACCGTGGGAAACTTCTCATCTGTAAACGTATTGACGAACTTCTCAATTGTCGCATCGTTCCACGTCTCTAATGGATCTTTCAACTGCATCTTGTCTAGACACCTCGCCACAACGGTTGAGGTTGAGCCGTAACCGCTCAGCTGACCCTGAAGAGTGTCTACAGCATTTGCTTTCACTGCGACATGTCTTCGTTTGATCGAACCCCATTTCTCCATCAGATTCCCTAATATCCATCGCACAATCTCTCCGCGCAGCCACTCAATGTCGACACTGGGATCGTAACCTCGGGTAGCCTTGCCTTCAGCATCTGTCGTACCAGACACATCGACCACATGTATCAGGGCATCCGCATGCCGGAGATCATCCAGGAATTTGTTGCCTAAGCCCTTTCCCTCGTGGGCGCCAGGAACAAGACCTGCGACATCTAGGAGTTCGATGGGAACAGATCTGCGTCCATTGACGCAGCCGCCGTAATTCGGTTTGCATCGGTCAGTGAGATTATATCTTGCGCAAGCGCAATCGATTTGCAGGTAGCCGATAGCGCGTTGAGGGTCTATCGTTGTGAAGCTGTGGCAGTCAGCAGCACACCTCGAATAACGTACAGGATAACCCTTACGGAAAGTTGCCTGGCGGGCAGAATCAGCGCTCCTTCTCTCAGACACGATATCTCAGCACTGACCAACTTTGGACGTAGCATCTGTTAGACTGTTGGGCAGGTGTTAGGATACAAGCAGGTGGGAATACGGGCAAATTACCTGTTTAAGGTGGTAGATTTGCCAGAGGACGGTTTGCCCACAAGACCGATCAGAGGGTCTCGAGGCATCGTTGACAGCGGACTTCAGGAAGTGCAAAACTTCAGTTTGCATCTACCTACCACAATCTGATAGTCTTTCTCTTTCAGACCAAATTCTCAGTAAATACTTTATCCGCAAAGCGGAGGGAATGTCACAGCAGCAATTACGTTGTCCGGAGTTTAGCCGGATTGGGCAAACTAGGAGCCCATATGCTGAGATGGCCTATCGATGCAAATAGCAAGCAATCTCTGGCGCCACAACGAGTATATTGTCGGTGTGGTAATGGGGTTAATGATCTGGCATATTGAGTGCTCCAGGAGGATTACTTCTTTCAGCAGAGATGAGTTTATACACAATAAAATTTAACATCCAACGTCAGTACATGCTCGGTACTGTGTCATCAACAACTACCTATGTTCAGGCTTGAACATGTCCAAAGTTCACATATGGCATGTCAGACAAAAGCTAGTTTACGGTCCTCTGAGGGCCGCGGTCCTTTTGGTCCAACATATCCCTGTTTGCTATCGGTCGAAGAGCCCAGTCGGGTTTCTTTCACATTGCCCCCACATCCACACTAACCTAGCGAGGACAGATGTCTTGCACGGACAGCATCGGAGGACGAATAATTTGCCTCTTCATGCAACCAACAAAGCACGTCTCATTCTAGGGTGCGTTTGGTCTCACGCATCTCCGGAGGAGGTGGTCGATAATGGTAACGTCAATGCTGTGCCTTCGATAGTACCGGAATATGGGGCACCGGTGCACATAATGAACCAAGCACAGAGCTGTCTACAGCCAGTTTCGGGGCTCAGCAGGCGAGTTTCGAGCTCAAATACCAACAAAAACATACCATTATTGTCCATATCCGGAATGTGAGTTTGTCAATCGCTTTGTGTTCTTTCCTTCATTTACAACCGATTCTCGCACCGAGCGACAATGCCACATGTGATAGAAAGGTGCATTGCGGATATCCTAAACAACTTCACGTGGAGCGTCTCGCATAGCAAAATCCTTCAACGCGGGCGGAAAATCTCCTTTTATCGCAAGGCAGAGGCGAAATGCTGCGCTCAGTTCTGTGCTTCCCCATGACTGCAGCACTGCTACGCAACCCGTGTCTCATCAAGCAGATACCTCTTCGAGTGGTCCACCTGGGCTCTTCCCTGTACACGATAAGGTTGTCACCCAGGACTAGCCTCATATGAATGTACTTAGTGAACACCAGCCCTACGTTCCACCAAAATGACGCTGCGTTTCAGGCAGACTAATTCGCTCTCTACAATATATTTTGGAGTATCCTACGAGAGCTCTTCGTCCTATGTGTCATGCTGGCACATCTAGGTTCAATGTCGACAATGAGATAGTTCTCTCAAGCGAATCGGTGCAAACCGTAGTCATGATCAATGCGTCTATGGAAACCCCATATTCCGAACGCTGAACATGAGACGTGAATACCGGCAATCCTCGCTCCGGCAAAGCGTAGTCGGGATAAGCATATTGGCATGCCACAAAAAGTACTCGGCGTATTTGAGTCGCGACCCTGCTACACCTATTATCCCTTGATATTGCGCTATCAAGCACTCAGCTCTCTCAAGTATGTCTTCTTCATATTCTTCTAGCGCAGATGTACCATTCCTGACCCCACCTCCTGGACAAAAATCGAACTTCGAGAATCCTGAAACTCGAGGGCCAACAATCGTCGTGCTTTGTTCAATATGCCTTGGGCTTATGTGGCCAGTTTTCCTCCTGAGAATCTACTCTAAAATATGGATCACGCGCACTTTCAGTTGGGATGATGGTATGTCAAACTTCTCCATCCTGCGATGTGTGAGATGTCATTGATATATGATTATAGTGTCAGCAATTCTTGCCACCGTGAGCGAATCCTTTTAGGGCCACGACCGCAATGAAGCTAACTGTACAAAGATAGGCGCAACCTCTTACGGTACCGTTGGGATCTGGGGTGCGGATCTCAGTGTAATGGATATGAACTTCAAGATTAATGCTTTAAAGGTATGGACATCTTAGGACGACATGCGTGGGATGTCCGAGCAATCGACATAACAGAACATTTCATCGAGGTAGGATAAAGCAGTGGCCTGAAAACCGGTTTCTGAACATTTACCGTGTACAAGGTTGCAACTGTCGTCTACGGAGTTGTCTACGGTCCTACTATATGGTTTGCCAAACTAGCCCTCTTTCTCCTTTATCTACGCATATTCTCATGTAGTCGCACGACCAAAATTGCCATCTATCTCGGAATCGTTGTCAGCTTCATCTTTCACATTGCCATTGCAATCTTTGTGGGCGTTGGATGCTTCCCACGGCCTGGCTCTAGCTGGCTGGCAACACTACGAACGAATTCATGCAAGTCGGTAGGTGTTCTGTATTACGTTCAGGGCATCTTTGGCGTTCTGTCGGATCTATACATCTTCATCTTGCCAATCCCAATCTTATCGACACTACACCTACCTGTGCGGAGAAAGGTCGGAGTATGCGCCATCTTTCTAGCAGGCTTAACGTAAGGTCTACCACTTGTTCGACTTGTCCACACATTTTGAGCTGTCTAATCTTTGGAAGATACTGATGGGGTTCAGAGCGATCATTGCAAGTGTTTTGGGACTTTATTATCGCGTCCTAGCATTAAATCCAGATATGACTTGGGGAACTGCCCCAGCCATTGGTCTAGCGTAAGTATCTCCCAGGCGTCCTCTCTTCTATATCACTCTCATTGCCAATTTTGCTAATTTCATTCCCCAGTGTCACAGAAGTCACCTTCGGTGTTATCTGCAGCTCAGTGCCATGTCTTCCTGCGGTGTTCCGACGACATAAGCTAGATTTATCGTGCGTGGCCTTACTGCTTCACCTGCTCCTTCCAGTCTTCGGGAGAAAGTCCAAGAGCTCAGAATTGCCGTTCGACGAATTCCTTCATAGGGACTCCCTACCATCGAATTTTCGGACTCCACATATCAAGACAAAGGTATTGGGGTCCATTAATGGGTATGATTCAGCTATTCCCCATTTAGAATCTTCTTGATTGTGTCCGATGTGTTTGGCATTCAAGTTTGCTGCTAACTCATGGCTAGGGATGGCAAGTTTCTCAACTCATCGAGTCTCTCACGGGTGTGATGAGGAAAGTCGATCTTCGATGGGACTTTTGCCTAAGAGCCGCTAAGGATTTGTTTTTCTCTCCCATTACTATGCAAGCGAACATGAATATAGCGAGTTAGAAGACGAGAAGGAAGACGTTAGCAAGCATATAATATTTACGGATGATTTGCTATCTGCTCCGTGGGCAGACATTGAGATGCAATGCCCTAATTGCTAATTGGCGTCGCTAAACTTGGTTGTCCGGCGCTTCAATGGTTTCCGCATCATAAGACCAATGGAGAACTCATCGTAGATGAAGCATCTTCGAGAAAAGGCGGTTCCGGATTTTCAAGACTATTTTGTTCAAAACATAGAAATACCGAAAAGTTCTCGTGTCGCTTTCAGAGCCTACCTCATCTAAGCTTACTCGCGGGATATAACAAACAGCATGTGGAATCCAATGCTATCTGACCCAAAATTGATCCTCTGAATGGCAGCATGCTAATAACATCCTCCAAACCAATGTGTGCCAGGGCTTACCATCTATTGCCCTAGAGCATGACCACAGCCAGGTCGCACGGCTCCCAACAAACTCACGTTCGAGTTCGCGTGCCAGCCAGCTGGCAGCCTCCGGTTCCTCCTCATTTCCTACCTTCTAGCTACGTCTAGACGGACGACTCGTTCATTCAGCAGCCATCGATATCTTTACCGGGATCTACTTTCTTGCAGGTGAATCCTCCCCCTCAATCTGGACGGGCGGTCCTGGCTTTCTTTTACGGCTTACATCGCTATAGGGTCTCTTTCTCGATGTGGAAGGCTTATCCCGACGGCTGGTGTTCGGTAAACGTGGTGGCGTCGCGCGCGGCCCTGCTCTGGAGGGACTCGCGGCAGATTCTGGTGCCGCGGCTGGGCGAGCGGCGGATGCCCCTGCTGCAGAAGCACGTGGTGGAGATGATGATGTTGGAGCTAACAGTGCTTCCCAACGCCGCGCTGCTGCGGCTGGACTTGCTACGGGTGGACCTTCTACATGTTTACCGGATAAGCCAAAGGATGCTGGTGGTAAACTTGTTGTTTGTGGTCGTATTGGTGTCGGACGTATTGGGAGTGGAGACGCTTGCGATGGACGTGTCGGCGGCGGCCGTGCGAGAGATGGACGTGCTGCTGATGGATGTGTTGACGATGAAGGTGCTGCTAACGAATCTGTTGCTGGGAGATCAGCTGCTGACCGACCTATCGTTGCGGAATAGCGTGCTGCCGACGAATATGCTGCTGATGGTGATGAGAGATCTGCTTCGGCAAATTCTATATCCTCTATTACTCTTCTAGTATCGACTTTATGTGCCCGAATGACTTCTAGGGCTTCATACGCTATCAAGACCTGTGGCTGGTATCTTGGTGCTTGTTGCGCAACTGGCGGCATCGATGCATGCGGCACAACAACCCATTGTACCGCCAGAGCTGCTCCGGGCAGAAGATTTATGGCTCTAGTTCCTGGCCAGTAACCGATCCCAGTGATATCCGCCACCGGTACACCATGTGCGGATAGATATGATACAAAAACGTAAAGAATCCATGCAGAGAGTAATGGTAGGTGTGCTGTCTCTAGGGCCGCTGCTGTTTGTTTTTCCCGTACGGACAAACGTATTGGCTTTGGCGAGCCGGTTAGTTCTGGTACCCATGCAGAGAAAGTTTTGTGGTCCATGTGCGAAGCCCTGTTGTAAAATTTCCACATGCCTTCGAACACGAAATCTCTACTATTCCTTTCGGTCAGCATATCAAGGGTATTCCTCAGACCATAAAAACCCTGGGCTCGTTCGATGGGGATATCCGTGACGAAAGTGGTGGTGACAATGCTCTTGTTTTGTGAGTGCGTAAGGAAGTATCTGATTTTGGGACCACTGTCACAATAAATCATCATAATATCCTCACTGTCTCGCTGTTGAATTGCAAAACCTAATATCGTGAGTGTGGACGCTATTTGATACGTTATGATAGAGAGGCGGAGCGGCTTGTTAGGCATCTTGGAAACGTTCAGGAAGATGGAAGACGAAGGAAAGGAGGTTAGGGAATATGTGACAAGAAGGTCAATCGGTGACTCTACTTATCGTTTCGCAGTTGAGATGACTGGTTAGAACGGTGAGGAAATGACTTCTTGTAGGTTCATACTACTTATTTAAGTATTTAGGTGACGGGTGCCAGGATCACGGGTAAGTCTCCACGGCTGATGCCGTGCGGGTTGAGATGAAACCAACATCAAACAGCCTATCTAATATCTGTGCATAACCAATGAGACGAGGACCTGCTGATAGCATATCGGATCCACATAGTTCAACACACTCTATAAATAAATACATGTACGGAGTATAATGACCAATACTAACTCTTCCCTTAGCCGCGGGTAGCCTTTTTGTCTGTCTCTTCAGAGCGACTCTTCACACCATTCTATGCCCCTTCGTGCTTCTAGGCATGCTCTCTGGAACATGATCATGAAGATCAACAACAAAGCTTTGCTCAACATTGATCCCCTCCGAGCCGACATGTGGTTGACTGTCCTTGTTCGCACATTCAGCATTGTCTGTAGTCGAGAAAACGTTCGTCGAGTTTCCAGACTGGTCGAGAAGAGCGGTTCTGCCGGGCTGGCTGTACTCTGTTTGCAGCTCATACGATCTGCTGTTTGGGTAATGAAATTTCACAGGCCCTATACGTTTCCCTGTCACAAGCCGATCATATAGGGGCTTCGCTGTTGGGATACAGCCACAGATAATCACAAGGGAGGCTTCTGCTCTGCAAAGCACCCAATATGTCAGTCACAGCCAAAAAGGCGTTTCGAGGTAAGGCTCACGTTCCCCAAACAAAAAGCTCGAAAGTTTCCCCTAGATAGCATCAATGATATGTTAAAGTACCACAGAGACCACAACAGGACTCTAGCTTACAAATATAGTCTACATGGTCAGGTATCTTAGCAGCCTGCTTAGTCCTACAGGCAGCACACACTCCCGCGCTGTACGTAGTCGTCAGTCAAGGTATTCAATCACGAAATGGTGAATTGGCACTCACATTACACCAAGTCCTAAAAGTATACACAGGCCCAGTTTCTTCTTTCGGCTCAGTTTCACCCTCCAGATGATTGTGATCGGAATGAAGGCAAGAAGGAAGTCAAGGAGAGTACCATATGCTACTGTCAGTTTAATAATGCGAGCATTGTAATCTTCAACCCGTCTTACCTGACTGAAAGACGCCGTAAGTGACACCGATTTTAGGGTTCCAGCATCTTGCTCCAGGGACAGGCTCCCACAATGCTCTTGGAGGTGTGCATCCGACGAACATCACAACACAGGACGAGATGCTGACCAACACAAATAGCATCGCGTTGCCATATAAAAACCTCTTCCGCCAGACTGTGATGGCCCCGATAAGCCTCAGCACGAGGAAGGCAACGCTAGCTTTCCCGAGAGCTATGGCCATCACGCCAAATGGTTGGGCAATCATATTATATTTCAGAGCATTCACGACCTCGTCTGGTTTGAGATAATACATGTGCCGGCCGCCTCCACTCAATACATAAACCGTGCAGACCGCAAGGCCAGCCAAGTAGATGATCTTCGCAAATCATGAGCCTATCTATACCAGAGCGTCTTTAAAAGAAAAACAATCCTTACCCAAGCAACAAACATCAGATAATCATCTGGGCCTAGATGCCTCATCGAGATCCTCACGTACAGTCTCGTAAAGATCAACATCACAGTGATGGGGAAAGGAGTCCAGAAGGCCGCAAGGAGTGCTGGTCCTCTGTTCTGATCGCCATCAGGCGGAGGAGAAAGACCTGACATAATTAGTCTCCATTAAATGGAAGGATCAGGCAGGCAGAAGCTTGTTTTAAAAGCAACTGATGTTCTTGTCGAATTCGAAGGTACGTCGCTTCGGGAAATGATCATATTCATGACGCAGCGCAGAGCAAGTGAGGATGAAATAGTGTCGCTCAGGGGAGGAAGCTTGCGGCGTTCGTATGCTGGGGCTGACACGAGCTTAATATCTGATGTGCCTGTCGTGACCGTATTCCAGGTGCGAAGTATGACTTCAACAATCCCGGTCGCCGGGCAAGCCCTTTCATGAACGTGGTCCGTGCCATCTTCGTGCCATGGTGGTCTCTTCTGCTGAAAGGCTTCAACGTCTCGAATACCATTCAAAGAGATGAGACCTTGAATGCTACTTGATACCGTGTACAACTGGTGGAAGTAATGGTGTCCACCCTAGTGTTAGCTGGCACTTGCTCTTCTGCGGGCTCATACAAACGGCCCATGCCTCGGATGTTTACCATGGTCTTGGTTGCAGGGTTTACAAGGGATACCGTGCCTTCGATGCGTCGTAACGTCGTAACGTAGTAATGAAACTCCAACGGCCTAGAGTCGTCCCATGCCGCCACTAGCACTGTGGAACGTGGCCTGGGCTGATAAAATGTAGGGACCCCGGACCCTGTTGCAACCATGGAATACCACCAACCAGCCAAACTAGGCAATTTTGGGCGCTCTGCACTTTTCGTTAGCACTGAGCCCTAAACCTAGACGTTGATTCTAAGAACTTTTTAGTGGTGGGTTCCGCCTATCTTCATCAACAACTGACACATCCTTGTGCGCCAATCTACAGTATCAACGCCGATATGCTTTCGAACTCCCGTCCAGATGAAATGGATTGGTTGTTGCTTAGAGCATGATTGCGTTGGTGCCTGGAACATTTTTCCGGTTGGTGGCTCTCTTACTACTACTACGAGTATTGGTATTCTGTATTCGTACAAGAGCTATCTCCCCCTCGTCCACCTGGCCACTTTTGGTCGGCCCGCGCGAGGATACATGTTTGGTCCCAACCCCAAGCATTCGTAATAGCTGGCTTTGAGCAAGGTTACAGTGCGGGAAAATTAGAACGAGGGATCGGCCTAGCTGCCCTGTTGCATTAGGCGCTGTAACACAACTGTGGTCTGTATCGATGTCATAGAAATAATGCCTGACGCTGTCCATCATCCTTCTACTAAATACTTATCAGATAATCTCGAGTTTGACGCGGATGGAGATGTTGTTCTAATCCTTGCCCGGGAAGCTGCTGGTGGAGATCTTGGCGGACTTTGGTGAGACAGAATGCTAGCATCTGAGCAAGATCATTCTACCGGGCAGGATACGTATACGTGTTCACCACAACATCTGAGCTTAGCCTCTACATCCTTCAACCAAGTTCTTCTGATCAGTGCGCTTTGGTAAAGTCGTACTCTAAGCTCAGCGGGCACTGCAGAGTTACGTCTTCTGATGACCATAAGATTTCATAGATATCTTGTGAATATCAGTCACGGCCCTGGAAGGGAATACCGTATCACGTATCCCGACCGTGTTGACACGCTTACCCACATCATGATCTCAAACAAGATGCCCTGTGGGACATCGCGGATATGCACACCGGTGCTTGGAATTAACGTATTTAAGTGCGAGGTGCCCTCCTGTTTCACGACCGAACTGTTATCTTGGATACTGGCTTTCCTTATATTCCAGAAGGCCAACATATTCAACAAAGTGCGTTGCCGCAAAGTGCTGGTCACGTTTTCGATGATGCCGAGACTGCGCCTACCTATTCCTTGTCATCTTCTAGGCCTGCCTTGTCTCAGCCAAGTTTGCTTCTAACTGACCATTTTGCAGATAGACTGAAGCGGGTCATAGACCAAGCACTGTCCGATGCTTTGCCATGATTCGAGATCGTATCGGCTTCTGACATACATCACCAGGGTGGCGTCACCGGAATTTAGAGTGCGACACGATGGTCCCAGGAAGCTCTATTCAATCTTTGCATTTTGCACGTATTTCCCCACGTTCGACGATGGAGCCTTTCATGCGGAGCTCTTTCCAGGGCTTCACCATTAAGCTCCGGCTCATCCCCGTTCCGACGTTGCGAAAAGAGAAGGGCCATTATCGTCATTGCAGCACTTGATGCTATGTTGAGCATATAAGAGAATGCACTGGGCGCAGTCTATCGCGTCTTTACGAGTCAAGCGCCAACACTCCCTGTCCAGGCTGGTCAATGGGAGGCGCCTCAATCGATATCGCGTGAATGATAATGGACGAAGCCCTTAGTCGAGATATGAACATTGGTATTGAGGAGGTTGGTTATGCCTGAAGTGGTGAGGCCTAATTGATGGCTTATCATGACCGACGTAGCGTTCCTCTTCTCAGAGTTGCTCGATCTGCTCGATCTGCTCGATCTGCTCTGATTTGCTTCCTGCGGGACAAATGTCATCATGGACCAATGGGAGTGACTTGCAGCGTATAGAATGGATGCATTCATTTGCTAGCAGAAATCTTGCTGTTGGCTTAGTCCAGGGTATCCATCAAATCAAACAAAGCAAATCGAGGCACTGATTTGTCAAATCGGCTCAAATCCTAGTAAGCAATATACGGAGTGATTTACCATCGGATTTTTCGTCAGGATCAAGTGTCCGCCAAGACTATTATTCTTCTATCGAAATATCCTTGCCAAGACTTCAATCTGGCTAATTTGTCAAATCCACCGAGGCCGATTTCCTTTGACGAAGGCACCGATTTGATTTGATTTGGTTGACTAATTTGATTTGATGGACACACTGGCTTCAAGTTAGTCTTCAAATCACCTACTCCTAGTGGTTGTAAGACAAGCCTGAAAACTGATGGTGACTGGACCCCCTGCTTTCTGGGAAAGCTACTCAACCCGTGACCCCATGCCGATCCCCCTGTTCTGGACGACTTCGATTATCTCTATGTAAGTCCTGAAACATGAGCACGGGAGTGACCATCTCACATAGAATCGCCCTGGACGTTCTTCAAATCCAACGCTGGTTGAGCCATAATCAGGTAATGGTACCAGTGTGACCAGAATATCGAGGTCAATGACAGGATATGGGCTCGGTACTGTGGTGAGATTGGTTTGGAGCCTGGTGACTGCTAAAAGCTTTAAGACTTTATCACGAGGAAAAATGTCAAAAATGAGTTGATCGCGTAACTGTGGGGTCAATGGACGTTCTTGCAGAATGCCTTGATTTCTGTTGAACATGCGTGGGCCGTAGGGGTCTTAAATGTACGAAAACACGCCGAGTGCAGTATAGATCCTCTGATAGCGTGGCGTTCTCCATTGCGGGTTCTGTGATAGTAAAAACAGCGCTAACACCAAGAGTAGCAATCTCTGTAACAATGAACATGCTTCAAACCCGCGGCAATTTGGGAAATCCATTAAAATTAGTTGTAACCATTAGAGATCAACTCCACAGTCTCCCTAGGTAGAGATAGAGTCACACTTAATAGCCTAATAGGCTTTGGCTGCCCTCTAAGGCAACGACTGAGACGCTTGGGGCGTCAGAGACAGCAGTGAGGTGTCTCGATGCGGTGTAACGTGTGTTGATGGTTCTTAAACGGTACGTTGCATATGATAAAACTCACACGCTTTGATACGAGCTAAGATCTAACTAGTATCGTCAGTATAATATTCAACTGAAGTCTGAACGGCTGTGTGTGATGGCGAAGGTCAGCAGTAACTCTTGTGCTATCCTCTGTGTGTGTACTACAGGTTGTTCTAGCTAGAAAAGGGGAGCAGAATTTAGCTGTACATGTAGAGCCAAACCCTCATCAGGCAAGCTATCCTAATCGGGCAAAACTGACCTGATTAGGCAAATAGTCTCCACAGCACAACCGAGGCTGCCATTGTCCATTTGTGACCGGGTGTATCCGAGTGTGCGGTGGAAAATCCAGCTTGTATGCAACCTGACCTACCCGTCGCTTTGTCGCGTAAGGTCGCATCCGTATCGTCGACAGTTTGGAGGTCTTAGGGAGTTGGTGTCTCCTTTTTCTGGGCCTTTACTAGCTTAATGAACACTTTTCCCTGCAAAGATAGTGGGTTGTGTTTAGCGTTAAAATAAGTCGCTATATAGGCGTTGGCTAATTCTATAGCGTTGTGGAGTAGAATTGGTCAAAGTGTCGACTTCGTAGTGTGTATAGATGGGAATCTAAAATACAAAGTTCGGAGAAGATAGCTCCACAGGCGCCAAGGCCCCACAACCATCCCCCGGATCAGCTCAGCTCGCTGACGGTCTGCAAAAGCAACGCAAAAAGACCCAAAAGCGAGCTCATCCATAGCATTGGCGCCTCCAGCACTGATTCGAGCACCCAGAATGCCTGCAGCCATAGCTATAGCAACTGCTTCCAGCTCCCTAGCTTTGCTCCTTCGCTAATGACCATAAATCTGAAAATTGAAGTCATCTATGTAGTAATATCTCACTTCGCCAATGCGACAGTGATATATCCGCGGAGGAGTAAGAAAGTCGTAAGTCGTCATTTCAAAGAAAACCGAAAGGGGTAATTTAATGTTTGATCTGTGCTGGATTCGTGAAATAGCTGTCATAATAATGTCCTAATTTGTTGCTGGACTGTTGTTTTCAAATGGTGCTGGAGTTGTCAACTGCATCCGAAGCAGTTGTTTCCCTGACCGCTGTTGTGACGAACCAGTCCTCTGCATCCTCAAGGTACTCCTCTTTGATCTCATCATCTGTGCTGGCTGCTTCATCTTGACTGTGTTTGGGTGTCTCCTCCCTGTCAACAGCCATAGGCGGATCAAGGGTTTCGTGGTCGATGTTTTAGCTTTTTGGAATCCAGCGTTGAAAAATGAATGGCTCTGTTGGCGGCTCCTGGTCTTGCCAGATCCCTTCAATCGGTTGTAAGTCCACTGGCATAGCTATGCCAGCTCCTGATCCAATGCCTCGATAGCACGCGCTGGAACTGGAGGATGAACGCCTGGATTTCTTTTGGGTACCTGAAAAGGACGCAAAGGTCAAGACAGGCAGTGGGACATACGTATCTTAGCCAATTGACCCTCACTGTTCAGAGAATTGGGCTCTATTCAATCAGCGGCCGTTTACTCATTTTGGTTTCCGGATTCTCTTCTTCCAGCTTGTGTTTGCTAGTGCGTTTTGGAGTAATGCTGATGCTCTCATTTACACTGTTTGCGATATAGGACCGAGCAAGCTTCAGCAGCGATGATGCGGTCTTCCTATTTTTGGGGTGACTTTCAGTCATGAATCCAATGTAATCGAAGAGCAGACGTCTCGACTCATATCTTGCGTCGCCCGCTTTTGTTAGTTTGATGAGGTGGGCACGAAAACGATCATATTCAAGCTCTGAATAAATGTCAGGTCCGCGCTCGCCCTGAAAGTATCTCCAGCTCCAGGGGCGGCTCGTGATGAAGGCGAACATGCTTAATCCAAGTGCCCAGATGTCAACACTTTTGTCGTACGGGATCAGCACTGCATAAGGTGAAGGTCTGCGGTCCTTGAGCGCGATAATTTCAGGGGCAAGGTAGGGGATGGTGCCCTGCATGTGGTCTGCTGATGTGAGAGAAGTCGTGGCTGCATCAAAATCAAGAAGTACTCCCCTAGGGTCATGAAAAGATAGAACTGCCATGTTCTCTGGTTTTATATCCCTATGCATGATGCACTTGCCATGCAGGTAGGAGAGACCACTAAGGTAATTTTCAAACAAGATATGCTGCGTAAAAGTGTTCGTATCAAATGAGTTGATTATATCTCTCAAGGTCATGATTGCTAGCGGCGAGTATATGCAGTGAGCGGTGGGAATTGGGCCTTGGAAAGCCGCGACACACTCCAAGAGCTGCAAAACATTCGGGTGTTCTCCAATGATCTGCATAAGTTCTTCATGCGCCTGTATCTTTCTCTCGTTGGGGTTCTTGAAATGTTTGATAGCTACGCTTGATCCGTCGCGGGTCCATCCTGCTATCACTTCTCCAAAAGTTCCTTGCGCAAACGCCTTGGGTGAGCAGTAGTATTTCCCAAGAGTAGTTGGCGCACCGATAGATACAGGCGAAAGTAGCTTGTTGATGGTCCGTTGAGGCTTATAGAACCTTCTCAAATAATCAGAAAGCTCTACCTCAAATTCTGGGCTTCGGAAATGACTGGTATATTCGAAAGAGTACACGAAGTTATCCAACACAATCAAGTCTGGATCATTAAGGACTTCAACCTGCGAGTTTCTGATCGTCTTCCCGATATGCCCGACCACCACCGTATGCCGTGCCTGTAAAACCATACGATAGGACTCCGGATGAAAATATAAACGCGCATGACTCTCCGATATACCCTTTCCTATCCATTCTCGGGTTGGTGGAGCGAGGAGGAGATCGACTCCTTGGTTGGGAGGGCGAGACTTGCTATCTCTAACACCCAAATACCATCCTGCCTTGGCATCGCGTGGAGACTTCCGGAGACTGAATTTGAATGCTCCATTCCAGCGTTTGAACGCTGGCTCGGAATGGTGTTCTTCTGCACTAGCATCTTCGGTTTCGGAGTAGATACTAGCGGCTCTTGGTACAGCTCGTTCAGCGTGCAGGAATTGACGATAATGCTCTTCGTCAAATTGCTGAGCATGTTTCAAGATATAATTCATGCTAGCATTGAATGCATTTTGCGCAGTCGACGAGACGGGGCGAAGTAAGGCAAAGGCATCTGTGGCTTCGAGAGTAGTGACATCTGAGAAGTCTTCAGGCGTGTTGGGAAGTGTGTCATCTGGTTCAGACAAGTCCATAGCTGCGGCTCAACTTCTGATGCTGTGTGCTAAGCAGCCTGGGCCGCTTATTGGCCCATTCTGCGAGATTTCGGATTCCACATGCACGCATGCAAGTACAGATCCTCCTATTTTGAGTATATATATATACGTGATTTCCGTAGATATTCGCTCGAACAGAGATCTTTCGACCCAGTACCAATGTAATAGTATGTTATGAGTGGTGTCATCGTCGAACGCGTCCCGCCAGAATTAGATAGGTACCGAGGCGCTTCGAGGAAGCTATATCCATTCAGGCAAGTGCCAATCAGGCTGTTGCCTAGAGGAACCTTAGTCAGCAGAGGACAGCACTCATTGTGATTCCTGCACATCATTATCTAACCCTCAATGCACTGTTGGCGACAAATCAATATCATAACATAGTCAGTTCTTTCAAATTAGTTTACGGATGGATTTGAATTTGTCGTTTTAATCATTGTCACTAATCGAAGGATTTTTCAAGTAAATTGACGAAAATTCCAATTCATTTGTGGAATGTGGGGAAGACAACCGCCGCAGGCGCGAATTCACGTGACCTTTGGTCTTTACAAATATCTCCCCACCTCACGACAACCTGATTTTTGGCTACACCGAATGCATTACGCTTCAAGATGCCTCGATGGGAAGAAATGTTACCAGACATCATGGAGGCCTTGGAGAGAAGTCGGGGAGAATGGCAAATCGACCCAAAGTACTACGAAGAGCACATGCGCTGGGTTGCTGAGCATGAAGAAACAGTGCGGCGGAACAATCTTGCCAGAGCGCTGGAGGCTGGCTTCACGTGTATCGAAGAGTATGATGGAGCACGTCGCAAGGAGGAAGAGGAGCGGGTGGCTAATTTTCGTAAGAGAGTGGAAGAAGAAACGGGTAAGACGTGGGAGGAATACTGGGCAACTCATCCCCAGCGAGCGAAGACACCTCCAGAACCTTTCCTTGGGTGCGACTGCGAAGGTCTGTCAAATCCGCTACCGGTGTTGACCTTATGCTAATAGAAAATATGATAGACCATCCAATCCCCATGTTTTGTCCCAAGACGCTGGTGGACTATCGAACGCAGGACGCTCTCGATCTTTCCTGCTGCTTCGAAGCCAATGGTGATCAGGACATACGTGATCTAAAGATTGACCCAGAAGACAAATCTAAACGCCTATCGCAGAACGCCATTGAAAAGTACTGGGAGACGGATACTCAGGAGGGACCCGCAGATTGGCCACCGTGGTTGAAGGGTGATGCTGTGCTACAAGGCATTGCGCAGCTGGATCAAAATAATGATTACAAGCCCCGAATCCCGATGACGTTGGGGGAGGGCCAGAAAGTCGGAGAAAGCCCGCCAAGTTTAATTTTTACTGAAAGTCAGAGCGATCCCGAGATTTCCAGCTCAACAAGACCGTTAGCGTCTCATAACAGCTCTTCCAACGACGAGAATTCATTTAATATGCCTAATGCTGAGCCATTTATCGAGATTCAGGGAGCTGCTCATCCGTCCCGTTCTAACCAATCTGGCATGCCTGATAATCAAACTGTACCTTATAGCAGACCCAAGAGAACCAAAAAATCAACCGATAAAGGTCATGCACGGCTCACAAGGACTTCGGGAGTCAGAAAGAAAACAACAAACTCCAAGAAAAGAGGAAGGAAAGGGATCTCGAAGATCACCGGATAGACTCAGCTACAGACAACATCGAGTTGGATGTCTAACGGCATTGCAAGTATGTGTCGAAGGCTTTTCCGAGATCAGCATTATACCAACTGCTTCCTTCCAGCCCAGCGCCTTTATTGGGTGGTCTTTATTGTATGGGTTGTGGTCGCCTGGATCGTTATTGAAATTGTCTTCTGCATGACTCGGCCAACTGCGTACAACCTAAATGAGGCCGCAACTTTGGCCCGTTCTGCAAGAATCATTTTCCATGGCGCTGTGTCATCACGTTAACCCGTTCTGCAAGACTTCGATTGGAGCATTCGTCTTGCGTCATATCAGACAAGAGCAATGGTATATTCGTACATCAGACGGAGCGAACCATAGCTCTACAACCATTCTCTATGCCAAGAAGGCGATCCAATCATTAGCCCACCGTTGCGACCAAAACTGGTTTCCCTATCAAATCTTCAGGAGTCTGTTAGTAGAGTCTCGTCCACACCTGATCTGCAACAAGCCACTGACATGCTACTAGCTTAACATTGCTCTTTGAGGAGATGCGGTCTTTTGCTCTCGTCAGAAAGTCATCTGCGGCCTCATTCCTACGAACTCCAGGATGGTACTTTCTGGCGCTGGGGCCGCCAATGTCAGGTAAGGGTAGAGAATCATTCTAACTCTACTGCAAGTCATAGATCATGAGAAAGACAATTCAAGGGCAGACTTGAAGTCGGCAGGAAACAGCTTTTGCGGCGCTGGGCGACGTTCATAGCCAGCCAGCAGCCTCTCCGATAAACCTGTGGTAGCCGCTCCCAAATGGGTGACCAGCAAAAGCCTGAAGAGATTGCATGAGGGTTTCTTGATCTTTATTCGCTAGGAACCATTGAAGGAAATACTTGAAAGGAGGAGCCGACCAAGTTCAGGCAGTTTCCCATTCGAACTGGCCAGACGCTCTCATAAGTACACCTTTCATAGCGGAGAAGATACCCGTATATGAATGTTTACACCATTTCGCATTATCTTCGTTGACAAGACAATTATGCTTCTACCCCTGAGACGAAGGGTCTCTGCTCTGGTTATCCCATTTGCACTGCGAGAGCAAAGTGACGGCCCAAGCACGCCTTCACGCTGGTTGCTGCAGAAGCCCCGAAACAGTTCAGGGACTTCAGCTTCTCCCGTGACCGAATTCTGTTGCAAATTTTTTGCTGGGCTATAAAACTGGTGAATCCCTGACTAGTACTAATGGTAAGGATACCTATGGCGCCGCATAAGGCTCCCGCGCCAAGCAGCAGCGATGAACTGGATACTTGATTTGCAACATATCCAACCACATCAATAGTTGTTGGGTAGGACAGATGAGAAGGCAAGAGAAGTTGATTCATGGCTGAGTGAAAGAATACTACAGCTCTTTAAGGTAGAGTAGTGTGAAAGAAAGAGTGTAATATCCGTACATATTGATCGGACTTCTTACGATACCGGTAGATGAGTAACACAGCCGCCGTAGCACTCGTCAATGACGCATCGTTTTCAATGTCTTTCTGCACGTAAGTGGGCCGCCAATTCATTTGGACTTTGTATTCAATTCTCGCCAAACTCTCACCTAAATTAATACATTATTTGAACCATCCAGTGCGGTAAGGGCAAACGGGACATTGCGCCATTCCTATCGAGCACGATCGTTGGCGGACGTCCATTAAAGTCCCAAGCTGTTTTGTACAATCCTCCGATCTCCAATTCATCTAAGTGACACACACCTATGTCAGGAACAACATCCACACCGTAGATGTGCCCTAGTCCAGCCCTGAAGAAATCAAGTCCACCGCCTCACGTTTCTTTCCGATCTATTTGATCCAAAATGACTACGATGAAGCAATAGTACTTTTGCGGCACCTACTATACGTTCTACGTTCTACATTCTATTCGGCGAGATGATACTCGACAACCTTCCCTACATCGCCGCTTTTCTACTCACCGCCAGCATCCACATGGCCTGGCCATCAGTCCCCTATGCCATCCACCAGCAATTCTGTCTTTTGGTCTCTAACAGATCCTCAATCGGCTTAGACGTTATCAAGCTCCATACATTCGCCCTTATCCTTCTGTTGTCCTCATTATCATTCAGAACCACATCTGCTGCTGCTAGTACTGCACCGCCTCCATCACACCAATTCAATCAAACATATAATGTATGTAACCTCGCCTCATCATCATGATGCTCCTCCTTCTCCTTCTCCTCATCCTTCCTCAACGAACCAGTCATTCTGCTACTGCTTAGCCATAAATCCTCACCAAACCCCCGGCCTACCCACCCAGTTAACTGAATATCGAAATGCTAGTTCGACGACCTGCCCACAACCCACGGCCTCGGCCCCATAGCATCCTACAACCTTTTAACCTTCACCGGCTTCTCCGTGCTGGCCCCCAAAGACCCAAACCTCCCCTACATCCTCCCCTCAGATCGAAACTGCGCAACTTCTCTTCCAAATGCGCTGCTGGGATCGAGATATGGTCCGCAATTACTCCGGCCAACGATGGCGATCAATGCCACTGCGGCGAGGCTGGAGGGAGTTCATGCCTACTTTGAGCTGCTTTCGGTGTACATCAAGCCGCTCGCGATGCCGGTTGACCCTGTGCCGGTGATCGCTAATGTGACGATTAGGGGGTGGGGCGCTGGTGGTGATGATGATGCGGAAGCTGAAGCAAAGGGCGATCCGCTTGTGTTTTGGTTAGAATGGACGAGTGGATATACGGAGCCTTTACTGGTTGATTTTAGCAGGAAGCGATTTACGAAGGAAAAGTGGAAAGGGCTGGAATTGCTTGACTTTGCGGTTGATTTTGGACCGGATCAGCTTGATTGGGAGTTCTGCCTGGATGATCTCACTGTCGGTTTTACGCGCTGTGGGGGAGAGATGTGCGAGGACAGCGGAGAGTCTGAGAAGGGGAGCCGGGCAGAAGGCATCGAAAGGGGGAATTATGATCTGTGAGGAGTGCATCAGACAGTGTGGTATTGCATACGGCCAAGCAACAGTCCACTGTGATCGCTCTTGCGTGAGAAAACACTCACGGAGCGCAATCTTTATGACATATAACCAAGCGCAATTGTTCCGGCCGGGCTGAAAGAGGTTGTCATTCGAGGCCCTCAAATGGGCCTGAGCACTAAATAGTGAATCCTGCTTTAAATTCTGAAGGCACAACACTCCTGTCCCTTGGCCAATATCGGGTTGCAGGGGCATTGGCATCCAGAAGCTGATAAGGAAATGAGACAGCAACGCTTCAACTGAACACAGATGTCGATAGAAGGAGACCGAGATTGAGGTTTTCCTTCCATCATTCAACTTCTCAGGACATGGTTTCGGTGCCGGGAGACCAGGGGTGTGCGTGTTGTCCACTTACAGGGTTATTCACGGGTAACGTAGACTTTGTACTTTGGATGGTCCGTTTGAAGAAGCCAAAGTAAGCGTCGTTTCGCGAAACCACCATCAGCACTGAGGTATATTCGGCCACTCGAAAACGAGACGTACAAGGTCTTTGAACACTAGTGCCAGAGCTATCATAGGTTCTGAAGGTAAGGATGCGGTTATCAGTGAAAGCAAATCCGTGGGTAGTCGTCCAAGATCTAAGGCTGTCCAAGAGCCAAGATAGACGAGGGCTGAACTTGATTTAAATATTGTGGTGTCAGTACCCGGCAATTCGCAGCGGCAGACTTTAGCGTCGTTGTTGTTAGCCTCAGTCTTTGAGGAAGCAATGACTGCTTGTTGATGAAGTAGATCACTGTTTTGTAGTGGCATGGAGTGGGTTCAATACTTAGTGGTCTTACATACTGTGCGTTGCATAAGAGTTGCGAATTCTCGCAACTCTTATGCAACGCACAGTACTGAGTTGGCGCTCCGCTAGAGACGCAGCCTTTGGAAATTACATGGGCTATGCTCCTCGGGAGCTGATAAGGAACAAAGATTCGATTAACGACAATCGGTGAAACTGAACAGCGAAGGAGATGGCCATAAGGTCACAAGTAGAGTGGGTGAGACTGGTGCCTCAGGCATAGCCCCTACAGCCTGGCGATTTCCGACTGCCTAATGTTCGGATGGCTAGAAGCATGGTAAGTACCAGGCTTACCATTGGGAGTACTTCTGGCTGGTACCTGGGCACTAGTAGGCAGCTGCATCCATGAAGATGAACACGAACAAATTCAAGGCCAGGTGTGGTTGTAGACATGATATCCAGGTTCAACTCCCTTTAGATTATCGGACAAAGGCAGTTCAGATAGAGGGTTGCCACATTTGGCGTTTAGGACAAGACGTTAGGGCATTTCACCCCCGCCAAAACTTCCTGCCGATTGTCTGGCTCGTTACACTTGCAGATTCGTAGAATAGTCTTCATAAGCCTGGTGTGCCCTATGCTCCTTAAGTAAAGGTAGATTATAATGGGTAGTTATATGGAGTCAACGCCCACGAAACGCACCCGAACCTCATACACTGGCAGTACAGAACTGAAGTCAAGCCCCGCAGGTCGGTGATGTCATACGTGATCACCTGGTGAGCTCCACACGATTTCAGGCCGCTCGTGCTGTAAATTTCTCTTGACCTAAATTCTCTCGCAAACATTGGTACCTCTCAATCCAAATCAGCTTTACGTCATACGAGCACAGCACATCCTACCCATACCGCTATCGACTCAACCCGGAAGTTCTCCATAAGTCCCAAGATGTCCGACGCGACCCAGCATGTCACCAGCGAGGAGAGCCGCGGAAAGGAATCCACCGATTCCAGAGCTCACGGTGGCAACACACCAACTGGCTCTGAACCTTCTACGACCAATGTGAGTATATCCAAGCTGATTTCCCAATATCCTCCCTCGGTCTTTGCCTCTCACCTACGCTCACGTGCCGCACTTACGTCCCAAGCCCCCCCCCTTCCAGCTCCTTTCTCATTCTGACATATCCTAGTCCCAAACCGAGAAAGTGGAGCCCAAGAACGAGCAGATCGAGCGAGTGAAAGCAAATCTCCCACTTCCCGAAGACCCGCCCGCGGCCTCGGACTGGAATTCGGCTGATAGTAGGACGGTCAATGTGGGTAGTGGGGCTGTAGGGGATGATGTGAGCAAGATAGGGTCAGGTGGTGAGAGCGGGTTGAGGGAACCGGCGACGGCGGAGAGTAGTGTGAGGGTTGATGGGGAGGAGCTTCATAAACCTACGGCGCCTTGAAGCTTATTTCGTTGGAGAATGGGCGGGAGACGGACAAGTGGTGCAAAGCTAGGACGTGGTATAAGTAGAGCATCATGACAGGTGATGACAGGAATTTTTGATATTTAGTAGAGGCTTAGAAATTGTAGCTAACTCAAGCCTGATGAAGCCATGCCGTTGACTGTTCGCAAGAGCAGTGAAGTGGTAGCACTGAACTCATTTCACCCTTGTTGTGAATTCTCGCCACTCTCCCCTACCACACTGTGCATGCGACGCTCCTACTGACAAGAAATTGAGCTCCGTAGAGGCCATTTCACTAAGCCTCCTCGTCAGTCTTTAGTGTCTCATACCCAACCCCATCGTTCGCTATGCCCTTTTGTCTCGACCCACTGCCTGCGTCCCCTGCTGTCTCAGCGTTTTCCCTCTGCAATTTCAGCTCTGCTGCTCGACCAGGATCGTTCTCCGTCCCAATTTCCGCATTGAAGCTCGCGTTCTTTGAATCATCACTATCAAACCCCCCTTCGGTGATATTCCGACCTTTCGGCTTCAGTGTGCCCTTATCCAAACCGTCCCCTGTGGCATTCATAACATAGGAAGGAGCAGGGTCAGCCTTTGTACTCGCTCTGTAGTCCTCTCCACCCGTATGTCCGGATCCAGACTTCGACATTCCAGATGCATATTCACCTGATCCCGTGTTGATCTCTTGCTTGTCTTTGGCCGGCCCGCCGTAGTACCCGTCTTTGTTGTGAACGCCAGTGAAATCAGGCTGTGCGCCCGCACCTTCGGGATATTTGAGACCGGCCGCACCCTTTAGCTTTGAGCTCTCATTCCATGCCTCTTGTGACTCGCGGGCTTCGGCATCAAGGGCTGGTGGAAGAACCTTGGCACCTGAGGTGTCTTGGTTGTTGAAGGTGGAAGAGGCGCCCTTGACGGAGGAGGGTGCTGCATCCTTATTTTCAGCGAAAGCACCATGATTTTTATAGGACTCGGCGGCAAGAGAATCAGAGGCGACAGGACCGGTGCTTTCTTGAATGGGCGGGGCAGACTCGGTTTTGACCTAGGTCGTGGTGGGAATGGTTAGTAGAGTGAGGCGTAGATAAATCCGCCAAGGACAAGGCATTCCAGTTGGTGTAGCATCAAACCAAGTCAGAAGTGTATATAGCAGAGTATTTTTGGTTGGTACGCGGTTTGATGGATGAATTGGGGTATCGAGTAGACTCACTTTCGTGGCCCCGTGGTTGGCGCCGATAGGAGTGCCTTGCTGATCCATAGTTCGTGAGATGTACTGATTTTCAAGTCAAAGGACGGGGTGTGTCTGGTGCAAAATACTTGAGAGGATAGCTTTGTTCAACGGTGAAGACCTGTGTTTGTTTGAAGAACGTCAGATACCAAAGTATTAATGTGGATATTTCAACTGACGTTTCACAGCAGGATGATGTCAGTGTGTTTGGGCCTGGCAACATACATCATCACGGCAAAACATGCACGTTGGCCTGCTGAGAGTGTATTCTAGCTAATAAAGCACTGCCTCAGAGCACTAAATTTGTTAGAAAGCATGTTGATATCATTCATGAGTACAACTCCACATCTAGAGTGAGAAGCTGGGGCCCTGAGTCTGGTGATTGCCCCTGAAAGTGCCTGTGATCGCAAAAAGGAGGTCTCTTGGCATGGCTCATCCACCCGATGCAATGCGTAACATCTCATTCCTTTCTCCTTTCTCCTTCCCCTTTCCCGTTCCCCCTTATCATTCATAGCTTCATGGTGTAATGGCTCAAAAAACATGTTCATGCTTTCATCATCGTAGCGCTTTCCTCGAAAAGCTCGGTAGCACAAAACTCGCTCGATGTATGTCTTTGTTGTAGTATCTGCAAAGCCTGTCTTCCTCTTCTGTGGTCCAACTTCGGACTGGGTCTTTCACATCCCGGCCAGCGTCCTTGCAACAAACCATAAACCCAATTTGGCCAGACGGGTACGTTGGAATGGTGGTGTAAGCATATTCCGCCGTTGGGAAAACTTCTAGGCAGGATTTCTTAAGTGACCTTATTAGAGATAGGTGTAACCACTGATTTTCGGCTAGAGAACAAAGGCGTCAGCCGCTTGTGAAGGGACCGTAACATAGAGCTCATGGGGTCAGCAGTGCAAAGGAGTTCAAAGGGTAAAACTCGAAGGACAGTGCGTACAACCTTGTGTGGTGATGACTCCTCCTTCCTTCAGCGCCCCAAAGAGCAACTCGAAATATGGTTTCTGGAACAACGTCTCTGCAGGTCCCTCTGGGTCACTGCTATCCGTAATTATGACATCAAATTCATTCTTTCGGTCTGCTAAGAACTTGAACCCGTCTCCAATGTGTGTCTGTACGCTAGGATGCTGGAAACTTATGCTCATGCCCGGTAGGTACTTCTTGCTGACCCTGATGACCGCTTCATCTATGTCGCATAATATGGCTGACTCGACCGTGTCGTGCTTCACAACCTCACGAAGAACACCCCCGTCACCTCCTCCAATGACGAGCACCGACTTTGGGTTGGGATGGGAATTCATTGCGAGGTGTGTGATCATTTCCTGGTACCTGCGGGTACATCCAATGTTAGAGATCGGTTCCTCGTGGTTCAACAGTTCTTCGAGAGTCAAATTCTGGTGTGTCTTAGAGGCAGGACATACGAAAACTCATCTCTCTCTGTGCACTGGATAACATTGTCCAGCACAAGCACGGTGCCATGATCGCTGCTCTCAAAGACAAGGACATCTTGGTACTTTGATTTCTCGTGGTGTAGAATCTGATTGACTTTGAGTGTCATGGCTTGACCAGGCCACATATTTGAGACTTCGCGAAACCATCCATCTGTATTCCATCTATCAGGATTTGCATATTCGAAAGCGTAGCAGAGGTGGATGAGCATAGGTTGTACCTTTGATGGTGGGATGCGTGATCTCACTCATATTGATAACAGCGGAAAGATTGTGTAGCCAGAAGGAGGGACTTGTCAGGCCCCAAAGACGCTCGTGGTCTCTCAAGGAGACGAAGTGGAAGGGATGGTAGTGCGGATGTTATGACAGTTGCTGCTGTACAGTAAGGCTACTCGTACACATGGAGAGACAAGCCAAGTGATGGTGTAACGTGAAGTGTAGATCTCCAGGATTGTTTTGATCTCTAATTCGGGTGAAAAAGTTGCTGCCCGACAACAAGCCACGAGACCCGGAAAAAAAAGTTTCTAGACATAAAAAGTAACGTGAGTGACCTAGAAGTGCAACGGGTCTAGAACCTCAAGTTGTGTAACATGTAACACCATCCCCGCACAGGCGCTGGAAATTGTAACTATGTAAATCCCATTTTCCAGTTCAAGTTTTCTGAATTTTTACTTTATCTTCATTTCAAGTATTTTACACGTTGAGTAACTATAAAAAGACTGATTAAGATCAGTTTACGGGAAGGAATATGTAATCCAGATAAAGACTTGAGAGTGATGTACGTAGTAGGCATTTGGAAGTTCAACCATCCTGATTGGATCTACAGTGTTGCACTTCTGGACTCGTTGCGGTTCTGGGTCATTCATTGTTGGTGTGGGGGGATAGTTTGCTACGTCAGTGGGAGGCTGGCTGCCCCGCCGGTCCGTCCATAGTCCCTGAGACGGTCCGCAGGTGCTATGTAAGTACTGAATAAGTCTCCGACCAAAGCATCAGCAGCATCAGTAGCATCAACAGAATCCCGTTCTGTGAGAAGAAGTGCAGATGCACCAGCAGAAAGCTTTGACTCAGACGATCAAACGGGTTATACACCATCTAGGTGATGATAGCAGTATCTGCTGGGCGCTCAATAGGCGCCTGTCAAGGGTACAGTTGGTTTAGGTCTGGATGAAATTATTGGCAGCTCAAGATAGAGAACCTATCTGGCCAATTTCCCGCAATGGTGTGCTCATTAACGTTTGGAAAACCGTGGTCAAGTTGGAGAACCTGTTCTTACACTTTCAGAGCATTTGCTAAACCCTTCTTTCTGGCAAAGGTTGGTGAACCCAAAGAAGTCCCCTACTAACGTCCACAAAAGTGGGTAATATTGAATCATGTATTCAGGAAATGATACCCTTATACAACAGGATGTTACTAGCAAGGCATATTGGAGCATAGAGGCTAGATGACGATGAAGCTGTTGGAATGTGTAACAGCTCTGGACTAGTCTCAACAAGGTTCTCACTGGGCTGCCAGCTCGTTTACCCAAAGATAGTACTCAGACCTCACCAATCGGCTATAGACATACGCTTTTCGGTCTCCACTTAACAGTTGTTCGCAATGATGGCAGTACCCAAGATCTCTCCTGCCAACAGTGCTAAGGTCTCACCACCATACTTCAGACGTTCCTCAGCATTGCTCGCCTTCAACAACAATTCCGCCGACTTCCTGATACCGCCGAGGCTGTCGATGTACTTCTTGATTCGAAGAATTTTCGCGGCAGCGATAGCGTTAGATCCAATGAATGCTGTGATAGCAGCCACACACTTGGCTACATCGAAGAAGTCACGGTCCTCCAGGTCTCTTTTATCATGCTGGGCACGGTAGCCATGCTCAACCAACCATTTGTCGGTTTCGTCGTCGCCTTTCTCCAAGACCTCGTCAGGGATTTCTTCAATGACGCTAAAGACCTTTTCAAGTTCAGCCCAGATTTTGTGATCGTCATCATCCTTCAGATACAGGTCATGAGCAGCGTTCTCTCGTGCAAGCACCTCGCCCCGACGAGCAAGTCCGACGGAAGCAATTGGGGACAAGACAGGTGTTGCAATGATGGTTGGCAGGATGAGAGTGGCGGAGGCCGCTGCGAGAAGTCTGGCGAAATGCATGTTGATGGAGGGCTGATTGGAATGATTAGATTCCGGAGTGCTAGTAAAGGTCTTTGAGTTGTGGTTTGAAGATTGTAAGTGTCTGATCCGAACAGTACGAGGTGATTGCATGTCCTCTTTATATTTTCAAGTCTATAATGCCCTCGGCTCGAACGTCTCTTACCAACACAACATCGACTTCTCTTGGTCGACAAAACAGCATGATCATCACCCTACGGCAAGGATTATCGACGGCATATCCACCGCAAAGTTGGAGATACGTCTGACGATCCTCTCTCGTCGTGGAGACCGCCCCCGTACCCCGTAGTACGAGGGTGATCGGCGACGTAGACTCATACCAGTTCGGCTTTATCTCGGTAAAAAACGTACCGAGAGGAGTTCATCGTCAGCCAAGCGGTGAAGGTCTCTCTGAACAACATGAACAGGAAGCTTAAGCTCCTGATTGAGAGTGATCGACAGGGCTGTTTCGCACCGATCTACTACCTCTCACTAACAATACATAGCAACTGAGTTCGGTACAACCCTCAAGCAGTATGAAGTCAACGTCGCATGTACTCAATTCCAATCCAAGCTGAGTACGAAAGCCCACACCCTTGCTTGGCGTGGTTAGCATGAAGAATGCGGCGAAGAGTCGCCAAACAAGCCCTTGAGGGCCTTGTTCAATCTGCGTAGAAATAGCTGTTTGGTTGATGCACAATGCCTTGATCGATGATAAATCCCCGCCCGGCGTGTTTCGTCTAACGGGACCACATACCCAAATTAGGTCATTTCTAACGATCATTCTCGAGAGAGTACCCTGAGCTTTGGGGGCGGTAAACAAAATGGTGCTGTTGAGTCGGGCGTTTCGCTAGATTCGAGTTCATGATTGGTTCGGTTTTGATGCCAAGGTCGATCGGTATCCGCTTCGCTCTGCGAGTTCGAGTAGACGATCTTACCAAGTGAAACCTGATGACTTTCCGATGGCGCAATAGCGCGTTGACCGATACACTACCCTCGCTGATGATCTTCCCTCAGGATACGCAAACATACTAGCCAAAGAGCAAACAAACTCCTATCCAGTGTTCGAAAGTGCGCCACGCTTTCCGACCAATTGGGCCCGTACCTCGAAAACGTGGACAATTGCTATATCCTAACACAACATGGGGTAGCTGTTTGGCCTCATTTCGCAATGCTTATTGTCAGATCACCCCTCTTGTGCTGTCCATAGCAGGCTCAACAAGCGAATGGCCATCATGAAAAGGAATCCGACAGGTCGTATCACATTTGACTCGCAAGGCATGACGAAGTTGGTCATGGCAATATGATTCAACGGAGCAATCTTACTTTTCAAAAGATTGCAGCTACCTAGAGGCTATGGTGCGCTTCCGCTTACTCAGCTTGTTAGGAGTGCTGGTTGACGCATCGCCTGCAGGAACGCCATGAGATCACCGCAGCAGACGATTCTGCATGGTCACACAAGATGTAGTGTCACTCGTACATTATGCAAGGAGAAGCGAGGGTGATTGATTAGGATTGTCGATCACCCGCTGGTAAATTTGGCAATTTCCATTTAAGAAGAGATCAGGCGGGTCCACGAGCTCATTGCCGCCTTCTCGGGGCCAAAAAAAGCGCAAAAGAAGATGACGGGTCGTGGGACTGCTCATTAACACAGGGTAAGGATCCAGCTATTGTCCACCATACACGAAATACGAGAAGCGAAGCAGAGATGATACGAACCAATGTCGTACAGACAAGCCGCAAGGCGATCATAATGCAACAGGAACTGTTTATCGTCCTTGCACGGTTGCAGCGGTTGAGTATTCATTCTTTTCCTCATTGGCCAATTTCACCAGTACAAAATCTCCAGGGTCCATGATTGTCACGCTCCATACTCATGGTGTTATACAGAAATCCTATACGCCAACGAGCGGAATGGCACGCAGGTAAAAGACAAGGTAAACTCGGTCACACCGCACTGAAACAAGACTCATGAGCTTAGCTCGCAGAGATTGTGCTGCTCCACATTCAGTCTTCTTCATCTCACAAAGTGAACCCATACTCGGAAACATGCCATACTTGGTGCAATTTTGCAAATTTTGCAGGCACAGAGAAGACATTGAAGCATGCACGACCAGAGATACGGATTGCTCTAGCGATATGGGGTCGGCTAACCTACTGGTGTCCTACTGTACTTCCCACTAATGGCTCACTTCAGGGAGAGATCTGCCCCCATCTTGCAGCTTAAAAATAAACCACCCTTCAATGCCTCGTAGTACAAGCTGCCGAGGCTGCTGCCGATCATGGACATGTGTGTTCGCAGAAGACCGTTCCTGAGTGTTTGTAGACCCTTGTTGACTGACCCATACCCCAGTCATAGATTGGGGAAGTCATGGTGTTGTTCCGTGGTTTGGGATGTAACACTCGTGTCGTGTAGCAAGTATATGGTCTGGATATGGAATACGCTGTATCTAGGAAGCTGACTTTCCTCTACCTCTATATCCCTTCGACATTCACATTCCCCACAAAGCCTCCAGTTGGTCGATAACAATTTTGCCAATCGCTCAGAGCACAGCCGGTCAGTTGCATAGTTTTTGATTGTGGAGTTGGCGGCTGTCACGGTGTATTGTAAATAGCTGAGGTCTCTCAGATCTAAATTGACTGATGATGATAATAATGATGATTCAAGAGTCTTTCGTTGCTGGCCATCCAGCGCCGTGAACGAGGTACCACTTCCTTTCGTGGCAGAAGTCATTTCCCGAACTGAGCGGTGTGGACATCAGGTAGTCCGTAATGTCAAGTTGGGCCTACAGCATTTCAGGCTGCTGCTTGTAGGCGACCGTGCTGAAGGTCTTCGTTCCGTACAGCCCGTGCGTGGTTAATCAGCTTCTTGCGGCCGTAACGGTGTCGGTTGCAATGTATCGGAGCTTCGAATGACGAAAATATACACTGGTCCGCCTGGCCACTGCTGGTCCGATCATGATAGTTAGCGGGGCGATGACTTCTCTGCGATTGAGCGTGGTTGAAGAACCTCGGAAGAGGGTCATCTGTGGAAGGCAGGCCAAATTTAGCATCACTTCCTGGTCCAAGATTCGAGTCGAAACAGTTACAGATCAAGTATAAGAATCGTCAAGGTCTCCCATCTTGCAAGCACGCGCATTCCCCGTGACAAGAAGGCCGAGACTTCTTTTCAGGGTCAATCACTGATCATATGACCCATCTTTCCAATCTTGGTGCTCAGGTACTGTTCGATCTCCCTGGAATGGATGCCCCTCTTGCCGCCATGTTTCCACGCCAAGGGTATCATCGCAACCCGTTCACGCACTATCACCTCCCGGTTCGGACCCTCCACCGCACGCACCTTGTGCGGGTTATTGGTCAACAGCCGGATTCCCTGGTCGCCTCCACAGCCCAGGTCGAGCAGGATCGCGGTTGCCAGACCGTAGCTCCTGGCGTCAGCCGGGTGCCGTAGCAGCAGGTTTGCCTCGACCGTGTCCGAGCCCAGATCTTGTAGATTGTACGCTTTCAGCTTCTCCGAGAGACCGATGCCCCGTCCTTCTTGCCGCAGGTAGACGATCACGCCTCCGCCGTGGAGGGACATGAGCCGCGCGGCTTCGTCCAGCTGCTCGCCGCAGTCACATCGTGCCGACCATGCCGTTTCTCCCGTGTAGCATTCGGAGTGGATTCGCACCAAGGGCGGCTTCGGCTTGTCTTCATCTGGCGACATCTCGTGTTGTTTTGGTCGCTCTAATGGCTGTGGCCCATCCTCTTCCGCAATGCCATCCTCCCCCGTCCTGGCAGCCATCTCCTCCGGAACAAAGCCCATTCCCCCCCTCTCACCCCCATC